AAAAAAAAAAGAAATTCGAAAACAAACAAAGCCACGTGTTCCGGACCGACTCGGCCGACGCCTTTGGTCGAACAATCTCGACCCGAACCGCCATGACGATTTCATTCGCTGCTCGCTGTGGGCGTCCACATATTCTCTAGACCTCGAAATCGTCAAAAGGCTGAGAAAAGAATCAAGAACCGATGCTTTTGTTTATCTTTGTCTTCCCGTGGCTATGCGCCTTCTTTGCAACCACCCCCGTCGCCGGCAGCGCTTGGAGAACCGGGAGCACCCTATAAGTCCTCTGTCCTGCCAGTGCTCTGCAAAACGCTGGCAGGATCATTAAGTTGGTTTTGCTACTGTGTCCAACGTTTGTCTATATTTTAGACACTCGGATCGGTCTATTTGCGTGACGAGGTCCTCCAGACTCAGCCGACACGAAGGCCAGTCGATTAAAATGTGTTGTCTTCACTGCCCTGGCAGCAGTCTTTCGAAAGCTTTTTCCCTCACGTTTATGCATAGCAGGGCCCAAATGTTTCTCTTGCGGCGTGCCCGAACGTGCTTTACTTTGTCTACGTTTGCCTTTGTTCAGTTACTGCTTTCGCTCTCAAGACAAAGGCTTCGACTGATGGACGTTCCATTTCAGTAAAGCAACAAATGGAACCATATGCGCATATGGCTTTTTCGACAAAGCTATGTTCATAACAATGCGACGCCTCTTTGCTACTATGAACAATCGTAGTTGCCTTTCGGAGATACTTCGGAATTCACGAATCTGGAAGATAATCGTAATTCAGCAACTTCGACAGCCCTATAAAGTGGTCACTAGCTGTTAGAGCTTGCGCTCTTCAACAAAGAATCTCCCATCCTTTGATCTCACTGACGCTCGCTTGCTCTCCCCTTCCCAAGAAAACATGGCAGTGAGTGGATTATTCTCAGTCACCTCAATGACATTGCTCATTCACTCGTACTCTCGTCTCTTTCCAGCGCCTATCAACCAAGTCTCGACCTTTCCAGTGCCAACATCCTGGATGTAAGAAGAGATACATCACAAAGAGCGACGTCCATCGACACTCCAAGGTTCATTTGACCGGCGCAGCGCGTGACAAAGAGTAAGTGGCTAATTCCTCATCACTAGTCAATTCATATTTGAGGACATACTCACCTAGGATGCATCACTGCCCTATGAGTGGATGCTATTTCGCGAGTCTCCAACGGGGCAATCTCAAAGTCCACCTCAACGTCATGCAGCAAGCTGCCTTTTCTTCATCTCTTTGACCATTGCACTGACGCAACTTTAGTCTCCGTGTCAAGAATCTAGTCTGTCATGAATGCGAACCAGTATACGAAACCGGGGACCCATCCAATATGACTAGACACAAGATAAAGATGCATGGCCAGCCGTCTAAGAGGCGTCTCTCAAAGACAAAAGGTATAGAAGAGTCGCAAAACCTGCCAGTCGACTCTAAGTCCAGATCTCCGTCGCCATCTCCGCCACCTCCACCACCAAACTCGCCCCCCGCCTCATCTGGTGCCTCTACCGAAACGCTTCCAGAACGGAGGCTCTCTGACTATAGCAAGTTCGATTTTAAGAGACCGGTTATGTTGCACTCTTGGTCAACAAAAGATATGCCTCTGAAGCCACGCTCGCAAACTATCTTCGGCCGTCCATCTGTGCCGGTACTGCCCCACAATGGACCGCCGATCTCATCGCACCCGCTTGGCACTTTTACCAACCTTCGTCTCCCCCGTCCACCTCTGCCGATACCACTTGCTTCGCCCTTCTTTCACAGTCAGCCTGGGGAATACCAGTCGACCCTCATCGACACTTCCACCGAATACACCCACTTCCGTCGCAATTCTGAGAGGTACACGTACACTCCCTCAATGCCCACCTACTTCTACAACGACAGGCGCTACTCGGAACCACATATCAGCGCGCTTCCCTCGAGTCGTCGTCCCCCGTCCCACATGCGCTCGACCTTGGACTCGCCTCTGCCCCAATTCCGCGACCCCTTCCAGCCTGGCCGAGAATTGCAGGTCCCTTCAAGTTCATCGTCTTCAGTGTCGTCGCGTGCGTCTTCTGCTACACCGTCTGTCGATTGCTCCCCTGCGCTCATGCCTGCGCCAAAGAGATGGGTCGTTACTGTACCTCCAGAGCCAGCGCATGACAGTGATGGGGAAATCCATGTTCGCTTTCTTGGCAATAATGTCGTATCCACTCGCCGTGAATCGACGGTGTGGCCTACTCCCGGAGCTTGAGAGATGTGATTGTGCTCTCCAGGACGTTCTTTCTGTTTTGTCGTACTAATTTCCGTTGTATCCTGTCACTACTGCGTTTTATTGCCCACCACTCGTTTTAGCTATTTGTTATGCTGACGTTTCTTCGTCGCTCCCCTACCGTACTGTTTAGCTCCCCATTATTGCCGTTTCATTTTACAGCCGTTTGCATAGTAACACGCTTCTCCTGTGAGTGGAGAGAGTGGTGTGAACTTTGGTCATAAACAATGTTTTTGCGGACGTGTTACAATGAGCTTATTGTTTAACTCCCCTAAGGCACCACTGATTGTTATTATAGAAATTATTTCACAATGTAATAAAGGCGCTATGGTGTAGTGGCAGCACATGGGATTCTGATTCAGCTGAGAGGTAAAGGTTCCCATAACCCAGGTTCGAACCCTGGTAGTACCTTTCGCTTGGGGAACGTTACGGTTTTATTTTTTCTTTTACAACAGTGGAATCAAGGTATAACACGACAGCCCCGACACCTTGGACTATTCTGTTTATACTACAGTATAATAAAGCGCATTGTATGCCAGGTCGTCATTGGTTATTGAGCGCTCATTTTATTGTCGAGTAATCTCACCTGCCCATAAGTTAATCATCGGTTTATTTATTCCACTTTTCTTGCTGATAAGTTGTTTGTTCATGACAGGACTCGAGATACTGACTATTCTCCCTCCCGGGCGAAGCCAGATGCTACAAGCCTCAAACTTCTGCGAGCTCTTTGGCTAGGTAGGAGAGGGTAATCGTCCTGTGCGTACAATCAGCATTTCTGTCTATTCCGTCTATTGGTTATATTCCAAAATCTCGACACTTGAAGCCTTTCCTACAGAGCGAACTCTCGTTGGACATACCTTTGGTTCTGCAACCCTTCCAATATGCTCAGCAACACGTCTCCCACAGCGTCAGGTGCTTCTTGGACGACCTGCTCTCATCAGCGTTATAGACAAGGTGAGACTGGTAGACACACACCAGGTGTCCGGCGCCTGGAATTCTGGTGACCGAAGCGAACTTGCGCCCCCGAAGGAGGGAGTCTTGCTTCTCCCGGGTACTCACAGCATAATTAACCTCTGGGGGTAAATGCTAACAATGAAAAAAAAAACTCACAACAAATCATTCCTCTCCCCATAGACCACATGCACCGGCACCTTCTTCCTCGTCTTATCCAGTTCGGGGATAGGATATACTGCATTTATCTGGTTGGCGAACGGTTGACACTCGTGATGGGGACGACATCTGAGAGACACTCCCTCCTTGTCCTCCTCGAACCCATGCTCCTGGTATATCAGATTGAACATCAATCTCAAATAACTGCGCGATCCGGAATCGTACTCACAATGTATATATCCAAAATACGGCTATCCCACATTCTCCACGGTGCGCGCAGCGCTAGGTCCCTGCGAACAGCATCCCTGCTCGCCCACGTCTTCCTCCGGTGTGGGATAGTGGAACAGGCGAGCTTGTAAGCGGGCGAGTCTGCGATGCCGATCATGGATCCCGGCCAGATGGCAGGCTCGACGAGGATCAAGGCTGAGAAAGGCTGGCGGGTGGGGGTTCCCCAGAAGGACGGCACTAATGCTCTGTGAAACAAAGGGTCGGGTCAGTCTACGCGGGGAAGATCCTTTGGTGTGGGGCAAGGCGCCGCCTCACACTCACACGGATGCAGCCCCGGCTGAATGGCCGATCAGCACGATTGGGTGGCGGGTTCCGGTCAGGTGGGTCTTGTAGAGGTTGGCACAGGCTTCGGCCAAATGGTACGAGGCTGCGATTGGTGGTTAGATGCTGGACTCTGGGGGGCGACGGGGTCAGACTCACAGTAGGTGAAGCCTGGGGCGTCAATGGCGTCCCTGTTAAGTGTAGCCGCTGCGCCATGCGTCTGCGAGTCTATTGCCCAGGCTTCGATGATGGGCCCGCCGTGGGCGTACAGACGTTGGATAATTGGTTCCCAGTGTTCTTTATCTGTTGTGTTCTTTGTCAGTACGGAAGTGAGGGGAGGAAGATAAACTTGCGAAATCCAGTCCCGTGGGCAAATATCAGGATGTAGCCCTTCTTTGTGGTGGCGGAGGGACGGTAACGCTTCGCCGTAGAGACGAGCGGTGTTCCAGTGCTGTATGTGTTAATGAGGAACTCGGTAACGTTCATGATTGGGCGCAGATCAACGAAAGGTAGCAGCACAGACGTTGGTTATATACCTCAAGCTTTCTTACATGTAAGGATAAGTGCAGTCCCGACGTTGGACTCCGAATCGCAGCGGCGGGCAATGTTTTGTTTTATAGATGCGTGATGCGTCGTCATGGGAAATCGTCGGCAGCGCTAATAATGCTCATAGTGAATAGATAAACCGCTCCTCACATACCGCTGCAATGAGTACGTTAGGGTTCGGTCAGCTCGGGTCTCAAGGGCCTTGCCTTTATTATCATACTACATTGATACTACCCGTCGATGGTCCGCGACCAGGCTCAGAGTTATTTTTTGACCGCGGGTACGACCGCCCGCCGTCAAAGTGCTGATTACCGTTTTCGGAATTAAGCGTTAACAATCAATTTAAAATTCCCATCTCCCCAACTATGCATGCATACCCACTACTAAAGGTCCATGAATTCTCAACGAACGTCATGTAGATACTTGAATGGAAAAAAAAAAAGGAACCACAAAGAAAAAGACCCTCAAAGATCAATTTCCTCTCCCCTTCAGTGATTCTTCAAACCGAGAAATTGAACAGCTGGTTCGCCTGGCCGGAAACACAAGTAGACAAGGTCAACTGGGCACCAGGGTTTGCAGTGACGCAAAATCCGTTGGTGTTGGAAGTGATGATGCATTCCGTGGCGACGATGCCCGTCTTCTGGGAGATGTCCGCACACGTCCGGCAGTCGACCATCCATTGCTGGTCCCTGTGTACGATGTCAGTAACGAGAAAAAGATGTAAAGAGTGCGAGACGAAGAACGTACACATCGTTACCTGCCGCGTCAAAATTATCCATGATCAGCACGTCGCCCTTGAGCTCGACGGCGAAATTGTCGTTAGCCACGGTCCTGGTGAAATGTCCGTCAGCGAGGTTAGCTCTGGAACCAAAATCGTAAAAGATGCGGTTACTTGGCGGTGTAGCTGACGACGGGCTGCCCATTCTGCTCGAAGAAGAACTCTGACGCCGAAGTGCTGGCAATGACGGGCGCGCCGACGGCGGGGTTGGCTGCCCACGAGAGTGCGCCATTCAAGGTGGACACAACGAGAGCATCACCTTCAAAGTTGGGGTTGCAACTACCCCGGGCGGCCAAGGGCGACGCGGTAGCCGCAGTGAAGAGGAGGGCAGAGAAGAAGAGGATCTTTGAAGACATTGGAAATAAAGTTAAAAATGATTAGTTATCAAGAAGACGAAGAAGATCAAAAGGCTGCAAGTTGAAGATGAAGATGAGAGCGAGGAGAAGGTATCTTTTATAGTGATTTCGGGACCAGCTGACGAGGAGGGCATTGTTACTCTGGGTGGTGAGCAATGAATAGGAGGGCTGTACTAAATCGGCATGGGCTGTGAGAGATGACTATTCTAGGACCGACTGTATTCATCCACGGATATGTTTTGCCTCAGCCACGATGCAGGAGTTCTTCCCGACCTTGTTTCAAAGATGACACCCTAAATGCGCCGAAGGCTAAGCAAGGCATAGTTATCCGTTGCTCAGCATGCTGATAGACATCGAAGACGCAGTTCTAGTCAACTTTCAACATCTGAGAATAGCATCGTCAGCAGCACCCTTCCACAACAATTCGCAGCAACAAGGGAATGGCGGAAGTCTCAGCATTAGAAAGTTATCGTCAAGCCTAGCAAGCGCTAGATGGTATTCATTAAAATTAGAAGCAATGAACTCCACGGATCATGAACAGGGAATGAATTGTGATAACGATCAAGCCTCTAAACGGTATAGTCTGAAGCAGGCCGTAAACACCAAAGTCTCGAAGACATGCGAAAGCAAAAGGAGATGAACAAGTTTCAGAAGAGCGTACGCAGTTGAATGTCAAGATCCGGCTTGTACACGTACTATTCTCGAATACACACAGGTTTGCCTCTCAATAAGTTCCCGAAGACGACGGGAGTATCAAACAAATCAATAACTCCTGGGATGAAGAACCGTAAGCAATGGTCGCTGCATTTCAGATAGCAGGAGAGATTAAATAAGAGTCTCAGAGCTACCTAGGAAAATATCGTCAATCCCAGCGAACCAGGTCGTATGGCAATAAGTATTTTTTGGAAATCATTGAAGTGGGTAAGGTAAGCGTAGGAGTCACACGCACCATGGTTGTCGTGCCAACGTCGATAGGTGGGGCTTTGCATTTCAGGCGGCTATGTCCAGTTCCGCATAAAGGAGCATCTACAAAAACGAGAAGGTGAGCGAAAAGGTCGCAAGACAGCAAGGAGAAAAAGTCTCAGAAAGGAAGCAAGATATCGTCAAGCCCAGCAAGCCGGGTCAGGCTCATTAAATCAGGTTTGTTTTGGAATCATCGGAGAGAATATGAATTTTTGGGTACGTACCGGTTTTTTGCAAAATTGGCCATGACGAATGACGGGAGCTATTGAGTACAGTGTGCGGGAAATGGGACGTGGTGGAAAAAGACAAGATGGCAGGCCCTGACGGAGAAATTTTTTTTTATCTCCGAAGGCCACTAGTCGGCCCGCTGCGGTCACCCGGACCGTGGGCCCTTTCCTCTAATGTACACTCTAATGTACAAGACGCCAGTCACTGACGTCTTGTACTTTTTTAGAGTGCATGGTCGCCTGGAACAGCCAATGGAAACCCTAATTGTCCGTGTACGCTATGTTAAAGCCTACAGCAATTGCGGTGATATGGACAAGCCTTGTACTGTACTCCTGTACCTTGAAATACATTCCGTGCAACTTGGGCCAGGGACAAATGGAAACACGGAGAGACTCTTCTCATACCCTAGACTATATATTGAGAAATGCCCGACGGGAGCTTGTTTATCTATGGGGGTCTTAGCGTGTGATATTTGGATAAGTCTTCTTTCATTGCCCTACCTTGGAAGCCGAAAGGTGATAGATCAGAGTTCACACGGACTGGAGAGCAGGTCCACCAGATCCCAGTCTATTTCTTGTCAATGTTATTAGAGGAAAGGGCCCACGGTCCGGGTGACCGCAGCGGGCCGACTAGTGGCCTTCGGAGATAAAAAAAAATTTCTCCGTCAGGGCCTGCCATCTTGTCTTTTTCCACCACGTCCCATTTCCCGCACACTGTACTCAATAGCTCCCGTCATTCGTCATGGCCAATTTTGCAAAAAACCGGTACGTACCCAAAAATTCATATTCTCTCCGATGATTCCAAAACAAACCTGATTTAATGAGCCTGACCCGGCTTGCCGGGCTTGACGATATCTTGCTTCCTTTCTGAGACTTTTTCTCCTTGCTGTCTTGCGACCTTTTCGCTCACCTTCTCGTTTTCGTAGATGCTCCTCTATGCGGAACTGGACATAGCCACCTAAAATGCAAAGCCCCACCTATCGACGTTGGCACGACAACCATGGTGCGTGTGACTCCTACGCTTACCTTACCCACTTCAATGATTTCCAAAAAATACTTATTGCCATACGACCTGGTTCGCTGGGATTGACGATATTTTCCTAGGTAGCTCTGAGACTCTTATTTAATCTCTCCTGCTATCTGAAATGCAGTGACCATTGCTTACGGTTCTTCATCCCAGGAGTTATTGATTTGTTTGATACTCCCGTCGTCTTCGGGAACTTATTGAGAGGCAAACCTGTGTGTATTCGAGAATAGTACGTGTACAAGCCGGATCTTGACATTCAACTGCGTACGCTCTTCTGAAACTTGTTCATCTCCTTTTGCTTTCGCATGTCTTCGAGAAGACTCCTGCTCCTGAGCAACGACATATCACGCTCTATCTGTAGCTTCCACCCAGGTTCATAGAATTCAGCGGGAAGTCCGCCACAGTACTATCCATCTTTGGCACTCATGGCTGTGCCCATTGTGGATTCTTACTCTGACCCCAAAAAGAGGGCACGGGAAACTGGTCGGTGCAAGCATCCAGCACTCGATAATCTAGGGTTGTTCTAATCCCTCTCTCCTCTATGGCGTACGTAGCCGGTCAAAATATAGCATTAACTGTTAGATCTCGCACAGTCGGTGTATGTGATAGCACTTTGAAGTATACAGGGTTTAGAACCATCTCGGAGTCGGGAACTATTACCACCACATGGAGTGATACCAGATGTCTATGATGACGAAGTTCGAGTGGTTGGCCAGCTTCAAGTTCAAGAATATTCATAGAGTTAGTAACAAAGCACGTTTCTTATAGTTTAGACTTTCACCAGGATAAGAGTTCGCCTGGATCGAAGGATGCTCGAGGTTATGCTTCGTGACATCGAAGAGTTTCTGCGTCATGACATTCATGGACTCGGAGATTCCGGACTGAATAGCCAGTCGCCGAAGATGATGAAGATTGAAGAAAGATGGTGGATAATTTAACATCAGCGGAAGGGCAGGGACTAACCCTCCCCCCACTATTGATGATTTCGAGGGATTCCAAGATCAGAAGCTTGCGTCGAGAGGATAGAAGTATAATTAAGGACAAAATTCTTCACAGAGAATGCAACGGGGTCGAATATAGGCATAAGCTCGCTGGGTAATATGAGATAAACACTGAAGTATGTAGTGTTGTGAGTCCCGGTAAACGCAGAGCCTAGAGAAAGCACGTCTTGGAATGCTTATTCAGTGAACTCAAGCGGTCGCTGTACCAACGCCTGCCAAATCAATACGTTTCAAAAATCGAAACTTGGGTATGATCGACAGAATCATTAGATCATGCGATAGGACGTCAAATCCTGGCTGAAATGCAAAGACGCCGAACGTTGTTGTTACAAGGGGTGGTATATCGGGAAATTCGGCCAGAAGGCCGTGAAGTTGTCTGCAAGTGTTTCATGCGATCCTCAGATCCGCCGGGGGGGCGTTTCCCTATGATTAACAACATATCTGAGCTCATGAGAAAAAAAAAGGATACGAAAAAAAAACCAGGGCGTACTCGAAAGTCGGTGGAAGTTTCCCAGCTGAGAAGGCAGGCCTTCGCGCTTCGGCAGGTTGACACTCCGCCGGTCCTAGAAGTCGCCAACGTCCAGAAAACCCAGAATATGACATTAGGGCTCGACGGGGACCGAGCATAGGCATATCCTGCGAATCTGAACTTGCTTTGAGCCTGCTTTCAAGCTCATGGGATCCCGTTGGGGCAGAGGATAGAAGCAAGACCTCGATGTCAGCGCCATGACACTTTGCATCAATGGAATCCTCATGATCATTCACCTCGACCACTTCGGATTCATCCAACACATCCTCCTCCACAGTACGAACAACATTGTCGTCCGGGTCCTCGGCCATTTCTTCTAGTGTCTCCATGGTAGCCTTCGACATCCCTTCATAGACTTTTATCGAAATACTTTCTGCAGTGCGCATTCCGTGCAGCGCATGCTGCCAGTCGGTGGGTAAACATTCTTGGAACCATCGTGTGTTGGCTGGGCCCCATGCATCCCACTCAACAGAAGTCATATTAGTGGGCGTGGGGTTGTGAGGTCGCGATGCATCCAAAAACTTAGTCGAGTATGACGAGAAGAAAAAAGTGTCCGTAGTCCGACCTGACATTCAGGGGGCTGTGTTTTCTTGCACAGGTCCAGAATTGAATGTGGCTTCTTTTCAAGGAAAAGGTTGACGTGGAAGGAGAATACAAAAGAATGTACGCGATGGCGGGCAGGATCAGGAGATTGTTCAAGGATGTAGATGCAGCAGGCCAGGATACGGTCTGCTAGTGATAGATGATAGAAGCTGTTGATGACGTTGCTATTGACGCTGGGCTGGATGCGGGGGATGTATCCTGGGGATGGGTTTCGACTCAACGAGCAATGCCAGAAGGAGAATCCTCCAGACAACTCCGGAAACGAAAACGATCCCAGCAGAACCGGTGGAAGGGAAGAGCCCGTCGGGGTGTCGAACTGGTAGACTTCCGATGACTATCTTGACCGTGAGCTTAAAAAAGACAGAGGACACACCGGACTTACGCAAAATCCTGAGGCGGGATGCCAGGCTTCAATAGTATTCATTTCTTTCATCAAAAAGCCGATCAGATCGCCGGATATCTGAACACGGATGGCGCCTATGGAGTTTGAAAGTGGCATTGAGACCAGATCCTTGGGGAAGCAAGGGAGAATGGGTGCGGCAGCTTTCGGGTAGGGATCATTTTCTGAAAGGGTACGAAGATGGACCTCGAAGACGAACTTAGATCTAAGCAAAAATGGATGAGCTTGTAAATGAACAATAAGGGCTATCAAACCACCTACTCGGCAGGCGCTCGAGTGACTAATACTAAGAGATCCTGTGAGGGATCAATTGTGAAGTCCAGGATACCGATGTTTTCGAATGCATGAGTCCACATTCTGTAATCTTCTCCTGGGTCACACCCGGAGAAAGGCAGTTCAAAGAAGGAAATAGCCGGGATAGCCTCGCGTTTCCCGTGCTCTCTTCCGTTCCTGTAAATCCCTCCAACGAACTCATAGATAGACGCTACAGAGGGCAGGTCAAGCTGGTAGTAGCGCTTCCAGGTGATACTTTGCCACGATTGTTCCCGGTCGCGAAGGCTATTCAGGCGCTTAACGAAAGGGTACAAAGTGGAGTCCTCAGGATTGGATTCCATGCGATATTTAGCAAGCTCGACAGTGAACTGAAGTCGAGATGACTGCATTATTATTCGATGAATATGGGTGTTTATCTGAGAAAAATGATTTCAGAACGACTGGATATAGATATTACTCAGCATACTAGGAGACATTTCAGCAGGTCTCGGCTTTTCCGAACCAACGATGTACCCTTCTGAACGCCTCAAATAGAATACGTAATTTTTCTTCACACAATTGCAGGACATCATACAAATGAAGTGCCATCCTGCGCATAAGTAATCCCAAAGTAAAAAGGGCAGATCGACTTTTTGACGTCCTTCGGGTTCTAGCCGTTTTTCAGCGGAGTGTGGAGGTACTAATTAATGCCGACCGCAGAATCAGTTTTAAGATGCAGTCAACTCTGTAATAACCCATACCCCTCTGTCGACGCTCAAAGGTATGGGTTATCGCAGAGTATGGGGTTCTAGAGAGGTGATTATAGGGCATCCCATAGTACCAGTAGCAGCATTATATGTATTTAACAAGGAAATATCTCTGAGCAAAAAAATTGATTTTGGTATCCCACATGTTCTGCACATCGTCGTGCCTGCCAAAAGAAGCAACCGTCTCCAGTTGTCGTGCAAAGATGCTATCCATCTCCGTGACATGATTTTGGATAGTCATCATGGCTTGAAGAGTCTCCACCGGTTCCGAGTCTGTGTCATATCAGATGTGACATTGATGTCTCCTAGGCTCTTAGCCCCATGTACGGAATTTTGCGCGTGCCGGGCTGCTGTTGAACTGTTTTGGGGTGACCCTGACATCTTCGTGGCCCACTGCACAGCCGGGAGGTTAAATATGTGCTGTTACAAGGGTGATAACTTGCGTAACCTTCATATTTGAGTGAATGGGTTATGGACCTCATTTTCCTGCAAACCAAGTCGGTTGACGCTCCAAGCTATGGGTTATAACAGAGTACGGGTTTATACAGGTATGGCTTATTACAGAGTTGACTGTAAATAAATTTACCATGGTCAGTTCATTGCTCAATGACAGCTCTACCATTGAGCCAAGGATAAAGAAATAAAAAAGTCGGGCACTGCAAGCAGTTGACGTTCAAATTTGACTTGAAAACCTATAGCGACAGAAAGAGTAAGTACTACCGAATAGGAACCTATGCAGCTATGCCTACGTCCCAAATCTTTCCCTTCCGATTCGGAGCAATTCAAATGATCTCGATCAGGTTTGAGTATGACATTTGCGCAAGGCGGCACCGAAGAATCATATGCCTAAAGATTGGCCCGAGGTATCCGCTTCACGGTTAAGCTTTTAATTTGGGATCAAGCGTATAGCAAACCGTGACCCATAGCAAATCATTTGAAAAAGAAACCAGCCCGCCGTTCGACATCCATTGCGGCGTAACACATGTTTTGGAACTCGCTGAGCGTCGGCGTTTCCAAGTCTTTAATCGAAGAGCAAGTAGGTAATTACTTGTTGACTATGAGCCTTCTACTTTGGACACTGCCGTCCGACTCGCAAAAAGGGTCCCGGCGTTAGTGGGTAAATCTTCCCTTGCAATCAGTCGGCGATCCGGTACAGCCGTACCGGGTAAAGTGCGTACTGATGGTATCAAAATTCCCTTGCGGCTAATTACCTACGGTGAGGTTCATGCAAGGTGTCAACCACGATGCGTGAATATTTAAAGGAGGAAGGTCTATACGGAGTTGAATTGAAGCAAGCGTTTCCTCTCTCTACTCAGAAACGAACGAAATGGGCCTTGACTTGTACTTGAACGGCGTTGCTCTCGTTGTTGGTGCTGGTGGGTCCTCTTTGCCAATCTTTGCGTGTCGTACAGTTCGATGTAACGAGCGACCTAGGCTCCGGTATGGGTCGTGCCACAGCTCTGGCTTTCGCAGAGGCTGGGGTCCGTGGCCTGATTTTTGCCGATATCAGGGACAAAGCCGCCGCTGAAGTCGCTGAGGAAGCCAAGGCGGTCGCGTCCGACTCCCAATTCGAATCCTTCGTTATCCAGGTCGACATGGGTGACGAAGAGTCCGTGAAGAATCTCATGGCCAAGTCAGTCGAGAAATTTGGACGTGTGGATTATTGCGCAAACATCGCTGGTGTAAGTCCTGTTTTTGACTACTCTTAAGAGGACTTCATTGATTTGGCGCACAGTCATTTGGTAGAGAGAGGAAGCCGTTCGCCGAGACCCCGACGGAGGAGTGGTTGGCGATCCAACAGACCAACATTAACGGTGTCTTCTTCCTCGTCAAGGAGCAGATCAAGATCATGGAAAAGCAGGAGCGTCTCGTGACGCCATTGACTTCAGAAGCACGCCCAGCAGAACGGGGCAGCATCGTTGTGCTGTCCTCCGCTGCCGCCGTGATCGCTGTCCCCGAAGGTGGTGCTTACACCCACACCAAATTCGCCACGAACGGTCTGACCAAGGCAGCTGGTAAGTGAACCATTCCATTCGAATGATATCCACTGATCCACTGGTTTCGTGCAGCCCAGGACCACGGAAAGAATGGTATCCGCATTAACGCGATTCTCCCTGGGTATATCTTTACGCCGGGTTTGGCTGCATTCCCTGGTGCAACTCCGGAGACGGCCCAGAGGATTCTTGATAACAATGCGCTCCATAGATTTGGAGAGCCGAGGGAGATTGGCGATATGGTAGCGATCTTGAGCAGCCCCAGGAACAGCTACATGATTGGCGCCAGCATTCTTATTGATGGCGGCCAGACTATCACTGCCGAGTAGATTGGCGAGCCACTTAATATTGTTAGACCCGCATATCTGTACTATTAATCACATAATGACCAAAACTTGAACATGATGCGTACACGTTTTCTGGGGATCATATCTTGGATCATGCATAAGACGCAAATAGACAGAGGATTGAGAAGAAGCTCGTTGAAAGGGCCACCCCAATCCCTTTCAGGGTGCAACCTCAATCACATGTATACGGTCTGGCAGACAAACTGAAGCTAGATGCTTTACTCGTCGGTTCATTAGAATAAGGCTTAGGCTTACTGGTGTTGAAAATGTAATTCCGTACGATATCCATTTTGAAGACACGACGAACCGAGAGCAACTCTGTGCGACAATCACAGCAATGCGTCTCCGTGTCGTCGGTGCCTTCAGGTTACCTCATGCAGGAAAGTTGTACATTCCGTGATTGCAGTGAACACCGAGTATCGCGTCTCCGTAGTCGGACTGAGGGTCGAGCTTGTCAATCCCGTAAGTAAAGGAACGGACTCCGCAGCAGATATGCGGATCGGTGGTCTAATGGAGGTTGGGGTAACGGCCGTAAGCTCATTCCATTGGACAGGAGGATCGGCCCGACTAGCCACCAAACTTTTTTTGTGTGTCGGTTATGTAATTCCGCAACTTGTTGTCATCACACCTCGGGCTTACTAGTACGCGAAAACTTCCTACGGACCACGGTTGACGCTTACCCTTTGCGTGACGACTTGCGGTATGTTTTGCTGGCGATATTTGATGTGACTCGGGTTCGCCAATGCCAATCATAAATAATACGACGTTTGCTGGTTAACTAAGGTCATTGGGTCCTCCTTTGATTCACCATGGTTAAGCATACTCGTGTCGTAAAGATCACCCCTTGGGAAATCGTAGGTATCTACCTCGTCTTTGCCACTCTGCGTACGTTATTTCCCTTCTTTTTATTTGATGGTACAATAATTCCATTTTGATAGCATTTAAGGTTCTCTACAGGCTCCTGTTTTCGCCATGGGACAAAGCCGCCAGAGACAAGACCTGGAGACGTGTAATCAGCCACTACAGCGTACACTACCTTACCCACTTGAACATCGCTCAGCTCCAGTACGTTTTCGGTAACTCGTACGACGTCTATGTTGGCTACACAAAGAAAATTGGCGTCCCCATGGACATTGAAGAACTCGACCTCGGTGCCAAGATCATGTGGGTTGGCCCCAAGAACCCCAAACGCGTCAACATTTTCCTCCACGGTCAGTGTTTGAATTTTTCCAAGAACATCCGTTTTTCTTATCCCTTGTTTTCAGGTGGTGCTTTCCTCGTCCATGCCCCCGCTGAAGGCTATCCTTTCTGGCGATGGATGCAAGGCCAGTTGAAGAACAGGGGTCTCGATGTCGGCTTGTGTGCCTTGTCATACGGTACGACTTTCTACTTTCCAGTCTTTTCTTTAGTTGATGATCATCTCCATAGCTCTCCACCCTGAGGGCGACTACCCCCTGCCTCTTCGCCAGCTCGTTGTCATGCTCAACCATCTCATTGCCAGTGGCGTTCCTCCCGAAGGTATCACCATGGTTGGTGAGTCCGCCGGTTCCAACCTGATCCTCATGCTGCTGTCGCACATGCTCCACCCCATTCCTGGTGTCGAACCTTTCGTCCTACCCCCCGGCACCAAACTCGGCGGCGGCTACCTTCTCTCGCCCTGGATCTCCGTCGGCGGCACCGACGTCCCCAACTCGTTCGAAGAGAACAACCACACCGACATCACCAGTGCTGACACCCTCCGGGAATGGGGCGCTCCCATCCTCAAGGCTGTTCCCCGGTCCCAGATCCCGTACATGGAGGCGTCACATGCTCCCAACGGCTGGTTCGATGGTGCAGAGAACCTGATCAACAAGCTCCTCATCACCGTCGGTGAGTTCGAGCCGCTGAGGGACTCCATCGTCACCTTGTATGAGAAGCACTTCAAGTCGTGGCCCAAGGATCGCGTTACGTACTGCTACCAGCCGGGTGGTAACCACAACGACCCGTACTACGACTTCTTCTGGGGCGCGAACCCCTCCGAGTTCGCCAGCAGCTTGACTCCCACTGTCGTCCAATGGATGTACGATGTCCACTCGCAGGTCAACTAAATAATGTACGCATGAAATTGCATGTCCTTCTCATAATACTCGCACAATACACCGACGCTACTTATCTATTCCATACTAGATACAAATTGTATGTACAGTGACTAGCTCGCATTCAAACAAATAATATCGCCATCAAGTCATGAAGCTACGTTGAAAAAAAAAAAAATCGGGCTTCACGATCCAAACCTTGGCCAACACAAGAAAAAAGTTATTTTGTTCTGTCGCCTTGGAGAGTAATTGGCAGAGATGCCGTGGGCGACATGAGGGCTTCTTTGAAACTTGACAATCTGCATCAGACCAATATCACACCCTGATCAGACCCCACGTGTCCGAGGAGGGACAAGCAAGAAGAACCGCCTTACGTGCCCTCGATGCTGGATGAAATTACCTTTACAAAGATCCGGAACTAAGGCCAAGCATGGACATCCCGCCGCCGGGAGCTGGCAGCACTGAATGTGTATAGGTTCAGGCTTATGCACCGCATCACTGGCAGTGAAAAACTCAGGTCGCTCCATTATTTGAGTATCCCAAAATACTAGGACCTCCGAACGTCCAACAGGGATCGGACGACAAAGTTGGCAGTGACTGGTTTCCTTACCCACCCACCCCACCCAAGCAGAGCCCAGCGGTGTGTGTCGTCCAAGTCATCGCCCCAGCCGTCGACCTAGTTACTGTATCTGATGGTCAGGAGCGTTTGGGTATAAAGGGACCGTACCCTCGCCAGGGGATGATTTCTCCAATAGCCGGTCTATTCACCACTGCCCAGACGATCCACGAACACAAAGAAATGATGCCCTACGTCAGCTCCTACGCGTACCCCGGTAGCAGCAGAAGCATATATCCGTCCTACGGCCGCAGCAGCTATGGAGTGCCCGTCCAGCATTACTACGGTACTCCCGTGTCATACGGCAGCCCGTATGGGTATTCGTCTTCCTACTATGGCTCGTCCTATGGGTCTACTACACCTATGGTCGTCCTGCCGTCAAGACGCCATCATCATCGTAGCCACCGCCGTCACCACTCTAGGAGTTACTATTACTGAGGATGATGCGGGATGTTATTAATACTGATGGGTTGTAATACGGTTTTGTTCTGCGATACGGATAATCCATTTTGTACGTGAGGAGGGTGTATGTTATGGATTTCCGCATCGATGGAATTCCCGGAATCATCCGGAAGTCTCCAGTCGCTTGAAGCCCTTTCTTCTCCTTTCTATCCATCTCTGTACTTTCTCTTACTCAGCCTAATGAACTTGTTATGACTCATGACTTCACGAAGCTTGTTGAACCTTCTAGTAACACCCATTTGTATATAAACGTAGCTACGAAACATGTACTAGGTATCAAATTCTTACTGCCTATCTTGAACCCTACACTTTGTGTGACCTCAAGCCACGGAAACTAAGCTTCGCGCTAGTCTGCTAACCTATTTCAGGATACCAGTAAGTTTACCTCGAGCTCGCTCGAACCTTTACTTCTCTCACGGATACCATCAAGCACGAGTCACGCTCACACTCTTATTCTCTTACTCCTCGTACCTCGACTACTAAACACTTGCTCTAATAATTAGCTACGGTATCCAACGTTTACAACAGTGTACCAACCCGAATGCATGGCTGAACCTTGGTACAGATGTATTCATTTATCTATCGCCTGGCCGTAATCTCTGCCAAAGGTACGAAAGACATGCGCGGCATCCGCGACAAGGGTTTCATTCCATGAGATTAGTACTATGTTTTTCCATCCAAAGGTATAGGAAGGCTAAAGATATCCAAGATGGTCAAGATATTCCACGGGATAGATGGATGGTGTGGGGGGGTGGGGGATAATGGTGAATGATTTAAGTCAGCTATGTATACTATTAGCGGTCGTCAATGTTAGGAATAAACACTTGAAATGCACAACAATAAAAGGCGAAATAAGTCAAGTAACCCCGTGAGAAAAAAAAAGGGAATCTACTCTACATGACCGTACCCTCCTATCCCGCTCGGATGAGGCCGGTCTACCATATGATGGATAGCGCCAACGGTGGAAACCGTCCGAATACTATCCTCCGTCGTTGAGCCTTCTATCGTCGCAGGCGCAGTGACGAACGACGCAGCAGCGGTGCTGATATCCGGATGACTACTACTGGTCATCGACATGCTCAACGCACCCTCGCTATCCCGCGGTCTAGGCCTAAAAACGGATGGCGGCGACAAAGAACTGGCGCTCATGTACGGTTGCTCCGTCGAAGTCCTACCAACGGATAGCTCCGACCGCGACTCGTGCATCACAATAGGTACGCTCGACCCGGACCCAGGACCCTCATGCGACGACTCGCTCTCTGAGTCCCTCTCAATAACCGGGGACGGCTGTTGCCCACGAACGTACTCGTGTGAGGGTCCCTCTTCAAACTCTTCTGCCTCCTGCTGCTGTTGCTGTTGTTGATACGCCCTCCGCTCTCTCATCTCCTGTCTCTGCCACGCCATTGGATGCCCAAACGTCCAATTCTCCCCCCCACTCCCACTCCCGGTCCCGCTCGTCGGGTCCGTCGAGCTCCCCGAGCGCGAATGCGTCGCCGAACCGGCGGGATCTTCCTCCAGACGGGCCATCGACGAGTCCGCGCGGGAGCGCATAGCGCCTTGGACGAGTTCTAGGCTCGTCACACTGATGTTGTGGATCAGTGACTGGGTGCGCGAGCGGACGGCGGATAGGGAGCCCGCGCGGGAACGCGACGAGGAGGAGCCGCTTTGGGAGTTGGACCGGGAGATGGAGCCGGACCTGGAGCTGTTCCGGTGTGATGGGGTGCTTGGACGAGCGCGGAGGGGTATGAACGACATGCGGGGGGAACTTGACCCGGATGGCTCGAGCGTCAGTAGACCGACGACGTCCTCGCTTTCTGCTGCTTCAGGGAGCTCAGGCTCCGGCTGATCCAGCGCATCGCCTTCCTCGATTCTTGAGTCATCCCCTCCTTCTAAGTCTGAGTAATTCGAGATCACGGGTGGTTGAGGTTCCCCGAAGGAGGGTGCGACGCTACTACTCGTTCTTGTCCTCGCTCTGGGGCGTCCTGATCTGGGGAAACTGATGGGGCTGCTAGGAGAAGAAGGGACAGGGGAAGAAGGGACGGTCCCAGCGCGACTCCGGTTGGGGTGCCTTGGTGGCATGGGAATCACGCTGCTGCCTTGCAAACTCCTGGGACTGGCAGCATCAGAACTGGTGCTGTAGTGCGATCGAGGAGAATGGGAGTCTGACGATTCAACATTGCCCGTCGACTGGGAGAGGCGCGAATGAATAGAATGCGCATTAGAATTGGTCGTCGATTGGGGTGGTGTACCGTGGGAACCAGAGGAGAGACTCGTTCCTCTTGCCGGCCTACGGAACTGGAAGGGATACCGCGACGACACCGGATGTCCCAAGCTTGACATTGAACCTGACCCGCGCCCTGAGGAACGCTTGTCACTGCCAACGACGCCCAGCTCTCTGTGGCCAATGTCTGCTTCTTCCTCTTCTTCCTCTTCCTCCTCTTCCTCTCCCTCCTCATCGGCATCATCATCACCACCCGTTGCACTCGTCTCTTTCTCTGTGGTCAACTTCTCCTCGCTCGGCAGGGACGGAGAAGGCGGGAACGGCACCTTCTCGTCATCCGACGACACCTGAGCGGCCTTCATCGTGAACGGATAGGGCAGCTCTCTCAGCGGACCCCCCGAGGTAGAGGGTTCCCCTACGATCTCCGGCGACGGCTCTCCTTTCGGCCCTCTGAAGAAGTCGTCGGTGAGAACACCTCTCCGTGATTGCGGCACTGTGCCGCCCAGACCAGCCGCAGCCATGATCTGGTCCATCCCCTCAAAAGGCTCCGGTGTATCTGCAAGCTCCTTCTGCCGAGGGGGTGTCGTGGTGAGACAGAAGTCATAGGCTTCTTGGATACGCGTTTTAGTGCACTCTCGCCAAGTCCAGGGGAGCGCATCAGCAGCGAGTGTTGGATTATCGCTGTAAACCGAAACCGTCTTCTCCGCATCCTCTTCCTCCCATCGATCTCGTGGACCACAAAAGCCGGCACAGCCATGACCACTGACTGCCCACAGACCGATCCTAAGAAATGGAGAATGGAATCAGCCGATCGATTCGGATACGAAGGAAAAAATGTGCGCGATACCAGCTGAGGAACAGTACTAGAGTTCGCCACGCCGTCCACGCAGCGTTTGCAAGGAGGACCCCGCGTGCATAATCGGTCAAAGCTCCGTCACCGCGAAAAAAGGTACCGTCCCTGTTATCGATGCCTGCATCCGCAAGTGCGACCTCTCCAACGTCCGGCTCCCAAAACCCCAGGAGCAACGCGACAGAGATCGCTGCTCGAGGTAGGAGAAGGGCAACGGTCGGGAGATTTTGAGCATAGAACCAGAATGTCTCAGAAAGACCGTCACGGATGCTGCCGAAGCTTCCGCGGAAGGCGGAATAGCGAAGGTAGTGGAGGAAGCAGAAGTTACGGAAGGATAGGATGGATACGAAGTTGAAGGCTGGGGATGAGAGGTATATGGGATATATAGAAGGGCGTTTGACGCGCCATCGCCGGACGAAAGAGTACAAGAGTTCGTATACAAGGAAGACGCCGGCGATTTGGAGAAACCAGCAGGTGATATAGGCAGCTGCGCCGAATGACCAGTTTTTTCCAGAGCCGGGGACGCCGGGTGCCTCTGGGTTAGGGTGTTTAGCCACCCTGCAAGAATATAATCAACATGCGAATGTGATTGAATGGAATAACTCACTGAATGATTATGAATACAGCGTTGAAGTCGAAGAATGTCTGAAGGAAAAGGTGGGCGAAGATGAATAGACGAAAGAGATAAAAGTAGATGCGAGCAATTGGGGAAGGGTTGCGAAGGAGGTCGATATTGAGGCCTCTTGAGCGAAATTTTGGCTGGAGCCCACGGGTGAGTAGATCGGTGGTGGAGAAGACGGTTGGTGATGGCGCAGCAGCACCAGTTGCGGTTGCCCGTGACCATACACGCGGATAATGGGACCCACTGCCTACTCGTGTATGATCGGTCGGCACACGTCTTTCCTTCTCACTGTCCACACCATATGCCGAATCCTGCAAGCTCACTATCCTCACGGACCGGGGCGTGGCCCTCCTCCCACCCAGGTACGAGGACGGCGGATGTTCACTCGGCCCTGCTTCTTGCACGGTAGTGACGTCCATGGTGGATGACCGAACTGTCGAGGCTGGTGCGGGGGGTGGGGGTCGCTGGGGAAGCCATGCTGGGTATCCCTCCGAGTCCATCCGGTGAGGGGAAGTGTTTTCTGAGTGGTCGTTGTCGCCACGGGTATCCGCAGGGGACGTCGAGGCTCCTGGGGACGAAGACGACGTCTCAGGCTGCTCCGGTGGTTGAATTCGTAATAGTCGTGAAAAGAATCGCATCGGAAAGAGGTATAAGTCAGTAAAGATATCAACAAGGGGGAGGATGCGAACGAAAGAGGACGTAAAAAGCGTAGAGTTTCGTAGGTTTCGCGTGAGTTTTTTTTTTGTGGGATTTTTTTGGAGAATATTTTGGACGTCGCGTCTATCGAAGCGCGAACGCTGGACGTGGCTCAACCAGTGAAGGAGGAACGCGCGAGCCTCGTGCAGGGTGTGAAGACAGCCTCGTGTCCCTGGTGAACGTGAGGGAAAGAGACGAACCCAACAAAAGTCAGGGCAGGCATACGACGTTCCAGAAACGAACCATCCGTTTACATATTCAGATAGCCGGCCGCTTACCGTAATTGGGCAATTTCAACAGCACCCACCAATCCGAATAGCCTCCGCTTACGGCTTACGGGCGCCGAGAGCCGAGAGCGACAGAAAAAGAGATGGAAGAACGGAAAATTGAGAGCTAGAAGCTCAATAAAAAAAGAAAAAGAATGGAATTGAGTATAACGAATGAAAAGGAGCGTCAGCACTGCTCAACGCTGCTTGGGGTGGTGGTGGTGGTGGTGGTGGTGGTGGTTAAAAAGCAAGGCATAGAGCGCTCTGATTGTTCGGCGTTGCCATGAGTCCCCCGTGGGTTGATTCAAAGCAAAAGACAGCCTGAGAAGACCCTGAATCCATCTGGAAGCTCCTAGGTACAGTACGGAAAGGTACAGTCGGTATTGAAGATACAAAATAGTTGGCAATGAAATACACAGTGAAACCCAGCAGGAGAATACCAGTGGGCGTCAGAATAAAGGATGATCCCCTTTCATGGCCGATGGTCGTCGACAGGTTTTTTTTTTTTTCCCGGCCCTACGTGCGGAACCGGTGCCGTTTTATAGGCCCCGTGGTAGCTACGATACGATTTCAACGGTTGAGCCCGAGGGAACATGGGACCCCTGCGGCGTGCGCCTGCATGCAGGCAGAGAAGTAGTAGGGTGCGTCAAGCACGTTGTCCATGTCAACACTTGGCCACACAGGTTTATACAGTAGGCAGATCCTATGGTGATGTGATCATCAGTGTCAACGAAAGAAGATCCCGGTCCAGAACTTTCGTTACGGGTCTACAGCACATACGAAATCTCCAAAATATTCTGGTACATCGTAGTACATAGCCTATAGGCACGATCCTCAGTACCCTGAAATCCAATTGAAGGGAAAATCAAACCTGCAATTGTTTTTTCATATACTTTTTCGGTCCCGAGCTGTTGTGGGGAAGACAAGACATAAAGTCACTGCTTCTGGGCTGTTTCCCATCGCTCGGTTCTAGATAGGAACCAGGAACCATGACGAGATGAAAATTGTGGAGGGCCATCAGATGACGCTTGATATATGCAGACCGAAATGCTTCCACGCTTTAGCCGAGTATGATTTGGCAAATAGACGAAGTAATCGCCACCAAAGCTGGTAAAATGTTCATTTGTCTATAAAGATGACTTGCCGTCATGGTGCGGTACCATTGGAAGTCTGAAGTCTGCTTCGAAGAAAGACGATCAGTTGACGAGATGCTATACGCGTCGCGAGTTCCATGCTCAACTTGGTTTGCAAGGAGAGTGCGATTGAGAGTGCACGAGAATCAGTCATTAAGATATTCGTGCGTTCGTGTAGGAAAGCAAAAGTGCAGGGCAGGCAAAAAGAGGAGGGAGTAGCCGTCGTCGGTCGTCAAGACGCGTACCAGACGCGTCCAGCACGTGTTGATCATGCAATTGGCCGGCCCGATCTCCGAGTCGCCACTGCATTTTTCGTCGTGAATATGATACCGGGGGGCTATTTGCCGTGCACTCCAAGGAGGGGGGTGGCGTGGTTTCGATTGCATTCTCTCGTTCTTCTCGACTATATTTAACAGGCGGACGGTGCATGAGGATATGAGGATGGCTATTAACAAGGGATGAGTGTGTAAACTTTTTCCGTTCTAATAGCGGCATAAAACGATACCATTTCAAAATAGACAGAAGAGGAGAGAAAGAGGTAAAGATAAGAGAGGAATGTGCAGCGATGACGATGATAATTGATGTAATAAGGACTGAAAAGCATGGCAGATATTACAGAGCGATAAAATTATACACAAAGGATTGCCGAGTCTATGGTGGTGGTGGTAGTGTGGTGGTACCAGTCACTGGTCCCTGATGAAAGCCGCACAGGAGCTATTGGGAAACATGGTGCCAGATGTAACTGTATGACATGAATCAAGGGAGACGGAGAGTAAGGGTGTCAATACAGTGCGTGTTCTAGTTTCGGACTGGATGGCATTGGGAGGGAAAAGGGGGACACGATGGGGCCACGGCCTTGAAGGCAGAACGGCTTATTTTTTCGATACCAGTACGAAGGCAAATATCAACGCAATGAGCGTCACCAAAGAGGTCACGATGATTGCGATGAACGACCGCGCTACCGGATAATTCCCCCTTGTCAAGGCTTCTTGTATCGAAAAGTACCTCGTCATCCCTACGCCCAGTATCCCAAGCGACAGTAGCACGGCTGTGGCTCCCAGCGGGCGAGCATAGCGGTGAGTTGCATCGCTTGTCGGCGAAAAGGTGGTGACATTGGAAGTCGTGCTGGATGAGATGGAAAATAGCTGGACGAGAGCGACGCCAGTAGAGGCGAGGACGAGAGAAGTTCGTACGTATGCAAGAAAAGTCCTCTCTGAGGCTAGATGGTCCCTTGCGACGGAACCGTTGTTCTCCAGCGTTAGGCTGATACGCATGGTGCTGAGCAAAGGAGCAATTCCGAATACTAGTTCCGTTGTTGGCCGTATGCCTGAATTCCGAATCCTTCAGCGGCGTCGCGGCAGCATCGTCCAGGATAGTCTAGTCGGGCATTTCGTCGTCGTCGTGGATGTTGAGGTCGAAGAAAGCATATCAGTGACGTAATAGGAAATAGGTTTTTTTTTTAAATTCAGCATTTGATTAACCGCAACAAGTAAGCTAACTACTAAGACGCGGTGGAGGTACAGGGACTCAGGATCCTCTTTCCCTCTTGTTCCAGTCCCTCCGCTCTTCCTTCTGAGTTCCCAGGGTGTTTTAGCGAATAGGAAATAGGTGTGTCTGCGCTTTTCTCCTTTCGACCACCATCATCACATGGCATATTCTCAACGGCTTCCTGCCCTAGATATCGACGTTAACGGACCCCGACCCCGGTCTCGGTCTGGAAGATGGATGGCGAGCATTATAATAGTATGGTACGCTGCTGCTTTTTGCTGGGCGTGGACTTACAACTCGTCATTTTTAATGCTTATTTTACGTTTTAGCTGGTAACAAGCACCCTCGAGTACAGTATTCGACTCGTGAATCTACATCTGTTCAGTAATCAGCGGTTCAGCAATGGCCGCGGTCAATTTCGCTGTAGAACACGTAGAAACGGCTATCCATGGTGCATATCCAACCCCTCTTCCCCTTTCAATGATTTCACAATAAGTCTGATTTAATGAGCCTGATCCAGCTTGCTGGGCTTGACGATATCTTTTTATATTTTTCTGAGACATCTCCTCGCCGTTTTTTGTGACAGTATCGTTTACCGTATCGTTTTCACAGGTGCACTCTACCACCATGTACACAACGTGTATCGCCTGTGCGACCGAATGCTTTGAATGTTCTGTACATTTTTTCCCAAATCAAGCTATCGAGGAACCGGAACGCTTCCTTAGGCGCGCTACGAAGCTTCGTTGTGGATCTTTCCGAAGGCAAAATAAGCGCCGCGCGTTCACACCAAATATAAGAACGCATAACAGGCTCCATCTTGACCCCCACCACCACCACCACCACCCAGATGTCGAACTTTTTGAGACGAGCCACACGTCGGGGCACCACCAACGGGACCTCAAACTACGTTTCTACCTCAGCTTCCCCGCCTCCTGAGCTAGGTCCAGAGCAAGATAGCACGACTGTGCCTATCAACCAGACGGACTACGCTCGTAGATGCAGAGATGTGATGGAGTTGTATCACGCTCTTCAGGAGCTAGGGTTCGTGTTCCCTACGTCTTTCTGACATATGCCTACATACCCATTTGCGATACAGTGCGGATAGGCTGTTCCCAACATTGCCAAAGATCATCGTCATCGGAGGTCAATCTAGCACGTCGTTTCTTGAATGTCGATACGGAAGTCATACTGATACACCTCTTTTAACAGCTGGCAAAAGCTCGCTCGTAGAAGCTGTTTCTGGGGTGCGCTTATGCTTTTCACTTGCCGGCCACATCCCCTCATCATCATCTAGATCAATGTACCCAGAGACAGCGGCACTTGTACCAGGTAAATGCCTCTCAAGCATTTCTGGCGCGATCTCACTCCTTTGCAAGGTGTCCGATGGAATGTACAATGATCAGTTCAGCCTCGACCTGGTCATGCACGATCTACCTCAACTTCAAGCATGAGATATCTGAAAACCCACATGTTAGCCCGAACAGAGTGCGGTTTGGGCCCCTTATTACAAACAAGGATAGCGTCGAACTATGGATCCGGCGAGCACAAGCTGCGATACTCTGCCCCCATCGTCCCAGGGAGGATTTTATCAACATGAGTATGGCCAGCCTTCGTAATCTTGCTACAGTCGACCTGGAAATGCTACCATTCTCAAATGATATCGTCCAGGTGGAGTTGAGGGATCCGGACCTGACAGATCTGTCTTTCGTTGATCTACCTGGTAAGGCCTTCATATCTTTGCCTTTGTATGTTAAATGTTGCTTTCTCAGGGATTATACACAATGCTGAAGAGGAAACAATCAAGCTCGTTCAGGATTTGGTAGTTTCCTACATCGAAGGATCGGATAATACGATTGTTCTCATAACTATTCCAATGACTGGTGGGTCTTCTCCTCTAACACTGTGTGTATCCTTCTCATGCCTCCATCTACAAGATGACATCGAAATGCAAGCGGCGGTAAAACTTGCAAAGGAACGGGATCCCGGGGGTGATCGTACAATTGGTCTGAATATTCATTCTGCTATCTACATGGCCAGCCCTAATTGTTCTTACAGGAGTGTTGACCAAGCCAGACATGCTCACCGAAGGTGCCTCTGGTGCACGTCAGAAATGGACACAGATCATTCTTGGGCAAGATCAGAAACACAAGCTCAAACACGGCTACTATTGCGTTCTTCTCCCGGACGACGAACAGCGTAGGCGCAAGGTCTCTCGAGACAAATCCCAGGCACTGGCCAAGCAATATTTTGAGCGAACGACCCCTTGGAAAGAGTTCTCGAACCGCAGTCGGTTTGGCATAACGGCGCTTGTACATGATATCAGCCGACTTTTGGTTGGGCTTATTGAGAATTAGTATGTGCCCCACTACTTTCCGTACCTCGGCTCATCCCTGGTTCTGGAATAGTATACCGACCCTGAGAGAAGGCGTCGACGAACTCCTCACAAAGGATAGAGCAGAATACATCACCCTTCCTCTACCACCACTTACTGATGAGGCGTGGTCTCAGATCATGATGCTCATCAATAACTTCTGCCTTGATCTCAAAGCTACTTTCGAGGGACAGGGAGAACACAAGAAGCTCGTACAGTGCAACCGCTCTAGGTATAGGCAGTTCAAGCACGATATCCTCAAGACATGCCCCAACTTCCGACCCTTTGAGGATAAGGCCTATTATCGGGATCTGTGTATCGAGGATGAAGAGTTTCAGGGTAAGGACAAACCGTATGTTTACATGGCAACGTCCGAGTACGTGATGGATATCAAGGACGTCAGAGAGGAGATTGTCAAGTGAGTGCTTGTCTCTCTGGGTTCTATTTTGCTGAGCTCGCCTTTGTAGCTGTACTGCATGGGAGCTTCCCGGTGAAGTTCCATTGGAAGCAACACGCGTACTCATTGAACGCTTTACGAAGGAGTGGTCCAATCCTTCCATGGAGTGTTTCGATGCTGTCTACGATGCGTCGTCAACATACATTCAAGGGTTGGTTACGCAACGTTTCGGCCAGTTCAAGCCCCTGGAAAAGCATGTTAGGTTCGTTGTCTGTGTCTTTCCCGCTTATTCAAAAGCTTTATATGTCTGTCCAGTGCACTTGTGCGTGGTCAGATGGAGATCTGCAAAAGTGAAGCGCTCGTCATACTTGGCAAGGCTGTCAAACTGGAGACGTCGCCCGTGTTCACTCAAGTACCACAATACTTGATGGAGCGCTCCAAGTGGTTTAGGCGGTTCCATAGGGTCTATACGAGTCCTAGTAGCTATAGCTTGCATTACAATTTGAGGCCATCCCCGCCTCCTCCAGCTCTGGAGACGACAGAAGACGAGGAAGTCCTCCATGTGATGGCCAAGGTCCGAGCATATTTTGAGTTGGCTTACAAGGTCTGCTGTGCTCTGTTCTCCCAGTCTTCTCTTGGCTGACCAACCATTATCTAGCGATTTATCGACAACATTCCGCTTACTATCGAGCATGAGCTTCATCAGCCCCTTTTACCTCGCTTGTCGGAGAGTCTTATCAAGGATATGGGAGGGCCGGATGCTAGGGAGAGAGCGAGGGAACTGTTGAGAGAGGATCCGGTGATTGCGATGAGGAGGGATGTTTTGAAAGATCGAATCGAACGATTGGAGGAGATAAGGAGGAAGATCTATGCCTTTACATGATGTCCTGTCTATATATCCATGTGCTTTGAGTACTTATAAAATGTAGTTCTATTTTCTCACAGTGCCATGCCTCTCACGAGCATTATTATTCCAGAGGACCGACTTACTTTTGGCAATTGAGGCTTGAATGGGTAGGGTGTGAGCGTCGAAAATCAGTAGTGATGGTGAAGCACCAAGTGGCTCGGACATTCTGAGCTTAGTCAGCACCTTCCAAGTAGCTTCAGCCCGGATGGATTATCTCGGCGTCTGATTGTAAGCCCCATGTCCCTGGCCTCCATTCCCTCTTCCAAGCTTCATGTATTTGGCTATCTTTTGGAGTGGAATAAAAAGGCAGAAGTAGAAAAAGATATGCCCCCATCCAGGATTGAACTAGAGACCTTCGCATGACTAACCATGTCAGATAGTACAAGTGCGACGCGCTACCACTACGCCATAAGGGCTTGGTATCAGCTGATTATGAATCCTTAAGGAATCCTACTACCCGTCAATACCAGATTTCCTGTTTTCCTGTTTGCGTAGTACATATTCGTACGCGTATAGGTGTTGTGTACATGAAGATACTACAAAAAATTATTCTGATAACATGGTAAATTTTTGCAAAGCATGTTGCCGAATTCTATCAGTTCGTCAGCCGTGACTTAGACATAAGTATATTGCGGGAGGAGTCTTACTCACTTATGTCCTCGCAGCCAACACGAAAGCAAACAGCAATGCGACGAGCGTTGCCATGCAACCGGTGATGATGATGGCCACTGTACGCGCGACGGGGAATTTACCCTCCGTGAGAGCTGCCTGAACGGAGAAGAACCTCGACACGCCTGCGCCCAGTATCCCCAACGCCAAGAGGACTGTCGTGGCTCCGAGGGGTCTGGCGTATCCTTGCATGATAGCGCTCGTTGGGGAGAACGACGCGGTACGGGTTGCGATGGAGAACAGCTGTACGAGAGCGACGCCGGTAGAGGCTAGGACGAGGGAGGTTCTCACGTATGCGAGGAATGTCCTCTCGGAGGCTAGGTGGTCCCTTGCGACGGAGCCGTTGTTCTCCAATGTTAGGCTGAGACGCATTTCTGTGCGTATTACGTCCACCCTCTCTCCTCCTCCTCCTCCCGTCTCCTGGGTATTTTTATAGTGTTGTCTATTCCAAATAATGGACCATATCTGCGGTCGTGGGATAGCGAGCTCAAAGTCTACCCGCAATAGGTACCGCAATTAAGGAGGTGGCGTGAGGGACTTACGAAAACTTGATACCCCGCCGGGCGAAGTCCTGCGGTTCAAAGTCCTCAGTAAGAGACTTTGACATGGATTAGAACGGAAGCAGATGCATTCAGACACGCAAATTGTTAACGTTGGAGACAAGTCTGCTTTCATTGTCTGCGGACTGTGTAGCTTTTGTCCGGAACGGATCGCCGTGCATTCTCTCGGTTATAATTGAGTGAGTCATATACTTGACGTTAAAACCCAACAGCTTAGCGACTGGTAGACCTTTTAATCATCGCCGTCGCATGGCCGTAAAGTTTCCGATGTATTCGTATTGCGCAAGATCACTCCGTTATATGGAATAGTCTGAATGGGCATATCAAGGGCGCCCTATCGTATTACCCGTTCCATCCTGTGATAGTATGCAGATAAGCCAGAAGTTTATAGGAAGAAGCTTAGATGAGTCAAACCGTATTCAAGCAACGTTGCAGGTAATGTATCAATGAAAGCTGGAATTACATTTCGTTGATTCTATCTGCGCATTGCGATCCGTTGAAGTTGAAGCCAAACCCTGGTCGTGAGTTAGAAAAGGCGGGAATCTCCTTTGTTTTTTTCCCTTCATATCGGCGGTGAGACGGGTTAATTGATTCCTGAAGGCGATCTGAGATAACAGAAACCGAGCGGATACCCTCGGTGATTGGTCCGTCTTCCTTTTTCCCAGAATTCGGGGACTGAAAAGTACATGTAGTAAGTCTAAGGGTTTGGGGGCCAATCTTCTAAATTTTTCAGGATATTGAAGGAGATATTTTTGGTTATTATCCGTCTCAGAGTGTACTGGCAGAAAGAAATAAAGACATGACGCTTGAGTCGGAATCGGTGATAGTATCAGTGATCATAATGGCTCCGTAGTCAACCACCACGTGACTTCAACTCCAAGCAAGTCGAACTTGGTGACATCACCACCAACCTTCATCTGCGGGCTACATATATTTCAAGATTTACAGGTCTACTTCTTGCTTCTTGTCCTCCGAATATCTCCTACGTCAGTCCGAATCCAGTCTTAGGCTGACTCTCTAAATGTCCGGATGTCGCCGGTCATCTTTGTTTCATTCAGAACGATCTTGGTTCAGTCGTCCTGCACTGTTTTGTTCTTTGATCCACTCTTGGTCTGTCAATCAAATGTGAAACTAGTTCTCCCTGACTGTCTCGTTACTTTGACCGGTGGTATCACAAAAAAGTATAAAAGGCCTCAGTTCAGGGTGGGTCCATTCCCCCTTCTTGACTCAATTCAGACCCCCTGCACTGACATGGCCCGCGCAGCCTTTCGGACACCTCAATCACGCCCGAGCACTCCCACTCCCAACTATGCCAACCATCGAAATGCCTTCAATTATGGACAGGAATTTAATTCCGGTTCTTACTTTTTTTTCTTTTGGTTTCAGCAGAAGGATAACCTCTTCTGTATGTAGTCTCAACAGGAATCGAACACCTTCTTGGAACCCCCATCTATGAGCATAAACTTGGTCAGTCAGCGGAAAATGTGTTTTATGATGCAAACTGATTGGTTTATACTGCAGTGAACGCTAACTCATCTCGTCCACTATATGAAAGGCGGGTGATCGAGCTGCGGCAGGACATGCTTGGCCTTCTAGAAACACAGACCCAGAAATTCTTAGCTAACATTGCCGATCTCACTCAAATGGTGCTTAAAGTGAGGTTTTAGCCAACTTTAACGGGAAGTGCGTCAGTTCACCGCCGATTGCAGAAAATTAACCATTATCGCATTGATGGACCAGCGACTCCCTTTGTGATAATGCCTTTCGCGGATGGGTCGATACCGAATAAACTTCCTGTAAGAAATTGAATTGCTTTTGTTGTGACTTTTGTTGACTAGTCTATGAATCTTCTCAGCATCTGCTTCCCCCTCTGACTAACCGACACATTATAAATCATCTCACTCCGGAACAGCTCGTTCGCTATTGCGTTGGTTATGGGATAGCCCACGACCCCAGAAACGTAGACCTCATGCTCGTCGACTTGAAGGCGTATATAGGCTGCAAGGCTTGAAGCTGAACGTCAGTGAAAGGAGTATCTGAGGGAGGGCTTACATATTGCTGTGACGCACGGTCTATTATTATTCGGCTTGCATATCATCTGTGGACAGATAGTAGAAATGAGTGTGACTCCTTGGGCAGTTTAAGACTTTGTAGAACGATATGAATACGTGCATGGAAGCAATAAATATCGAAAACCTACCGGTCTCTCTTGCTCAGACGCGGGGACCTATTTAGCATCCTTTGCATCAGCAAATTTGGTAGAGAGTATAATTACCCACCAGCGGCAGCACCTGCACTGATAAAGAGCCCCCAACTTGTATGGTATTGTCCATCTGATGAGCCGAATTTTGGTACGGTTGACTCAGAGCGGACGCATAGCAGTCCTAGTGACGTTGAAGGTTTTTGAATACAAATTGAATGCTGGTCTTATGGCATCACAGCAGTGGACTCTTGATTTGCTGGAATATAATGTATGTTGAGAAAGCTGTGCAATAGACGTGTCAAACGGGTCGATTTCCGTGTTATAGGGGTATGGGTATATCGCGTGATGGAGGTTAGGTGGAGGATGCACACCCAACCTGTTGGCCTGCGAGAATGTGCCGAAATCAGTAATGGGCTATAATAAGAGATGGGAAATCATCGTACGTTTTGCTTGGTACCCTGGGTGAGGATAGAATCGTAGTAGTAATAAGACATTTCAAGGAGAGAATGATGTGGAATAAACGTGAATGACCTCTCGCCTTTATAACAAGCACCTGGAAGTTTTTGACAGGTTGTCTTGAACAAAGACTAAAGGCGGCTGAAAAGACATAGAGCTTTGTGAGCAAAGATATGGTACATATTTTATTGCTATTTTGTAAAATGATGAGATTCTCAAAAAAGAAAAAAAATTGCGACCGTCCGATCTCAGCCATGTCCCTACTTGTTCATGCATATGGCGCGCTTGAAATAATCACAGTATTGCATGCTATCGGTAGAAAAAATGTTTAAATGCTATCCATCCTTACAGACCTTGTTCCGTTTTTGGTGAACTCGGTCGCTGCCGGGTTCCTACTCTCTTCGTACTCACGTAGTGGTCAAGACTAACTGGACGTGTGTGTACGCAAACATAATTATCGAGAGTGAAAACGATATATTCCTGGGCACATGAGCCTCGACTACAGACTCGACCGAAACCAGACGGATAGTAGCTTGAGTGGGATAGAAAACGAAGCAGATATATAATAACTGATTTTTCATCTACACGCCTGCCTAATCAGCATATGGAAAATGCGACGAAGAAAGGAACAGAGAACTTAAAAAAGATGCAGCGCCTCGGTATAAAAATGCAGATAATAGAAGCACGACGACTGAAAGGGTTTCAAAGGTAATCTAGGTTTTATTGCCAGTATACAGACTAAGGAAAGCGCCGGAGAGAAAAAACTGACCATTGGTCTATTCTTGTGATACGATGATGGTTATCGTTAGAAAGGAAGACACCTTCGGTCAGCCACGCGCTCTAAAATGCTCGGATTACCACCAGTCATCCGTAGATTATTTATTGACGGCCTCCGCATCGTCTCAACGGCTCTAGTCCATTTTTCTCCAGCTATGCAGAGTGCTAAGCCAACCCACTGGCGCTGAGGCGAAGGGTGCATATACGATTCAAAAAAGATGTCTATAGATAGATGATCAATCCAAGAGCATACTGTGTTAGATAAAGAAGCGCAACAGACCTGTTGTCCGCTCGTCATCGCATTCTCTGGTACTCATTATATCAGACAAAACTAGTCCGAGCTATGAGGTTCGGAGGTCGCATGCGTGAAGACAGACGATTCTTCTCTTTTCTATTTTCGCTACGAGCAGGATCAATAATGAGACGTTGCCTTTGAACTGCCCCAAAAGCACGTACATAAATCTCCAGATATACCGTATTTATGTCCTAAATCTGACATAATATCCTTCGCCTTGGTCCATATAGGTACTGAGCGCCTGGAGATAGGAATTTCTGAGCGTGGTGCAGACAGGAAGCGGTCGTCTGTTGCTGTGGAATAAACTCTTGGAAAGAATGTAAAGAGCGAGAGCGTCCTTGCCCACGGCTCCGTAGTTGCTCCATGATTATTTGCTAGCGAAAATAGCCGCGATCTCTACCATGCGTCTTCATCAACGGAGAAAATCCTTTCGCATTGTACATATCAAGGCCGCTGCCGACGAAAAGATGTTGGTGACATGGTGGGAGTAGCAAATAGAGCAAGACGCAGGACACCGATCACCGTTACGTACTGCCTCTGATCACGACCACGACCATGAAATCAATCGGCTTTTCACCCACCATTCGACTTCAATGACACTGCTACGAGCAAGGAAGGATGCGGGGATAGAAACCGAAAATTTGGTGGTCCTAGCTACCTTTGTATCCTACGGCTAGCGCGAACAATGCCCAGGTCCCTATATGCGCGGAAGTGGGCATCTCCTCCTCCTGTCTTTTCCGGGATGTCATCGGGTTTCCAGAATGGGCTTTGGCGAGCATCGAGGACTGTCCTGTCGAACAAATGGGTCGCAGTAACAATTGGAAAAGAGTAGGAAGGAATAGTTGCGACAGGCTGGCATTACGGGCGACAGAGGCTACAGTGAGGAGTGCTCGGTGCGTATCGCTTAATACGATGTGGATAACGCACGCTGATATCGTCCTACATTCTTAGCACGTTTGGCTGATTGGGCTTCAATGCCTCCTTCTTCGACCATTGGCTGTCACCGATTCTCTATCAATGACAATTGTTTACGAAAAATTTCCATGTCCTGACCGGAATGTACTGCCCTTTGCAGGGCAATGATTTCTCCAGTCACTCTACGCCATCATTATCCTTGGTGGTCATGTGCTGGGCCGAGCCTCCGACTGTTGACGCGTCTTCCGGAGGTGGACATGGGAGATCATGATTGGTTAACACTCTTTTTCGCGGACATGGGCCAAACGGTTGACTCCGGCCAATAGTTGGTGAGTGTCATCTTCGTTTCCTCAACGAACGAGGAGCTGATTAGTTTTCAAGGGGTAGCGCCTCACATCAGCCTGGTATAGTCGCTCGCCTCTAGGTAGGGCTGACATCCCCGACCATCCCGTTGGTAACGCATATCGTTCTTCACTAAGCTGAAGGACGTGTCATATCATGGTGGAGTTTTCGTGTCCAAAGGAATCTCCAATCGTACATGTCATGAACTCAACTCAAGGCAGTCCCGAGACCTTGTGATAAAAATAAAGCTGTCGAATCATCAGGATGGACCCTTGTCGGACTAGGCGGTTTCGTTTCACGCTTCAATGCTGTCAAAATGGACCTAGCTGGTCTTTTAACTTTACCAACCGATACCTTTGGAGAGCAGTCATGCGACGTCGATTTCCCGGACCTATTTCCTACGCCCCCCCCCCCCTCTAATGGCAATAATGCTCTCTCGGGCCGAAGAACAAAGGCTGTTCCAACGTGAGTGCCATAGTACCATTCTCGTGAATTATGATCTTGATGTCCTTTAGGTAATCCTTGGAGAGAGGTGTTTGCTATTGGCCTGTCGAACGGGTTCCATTGCAAGGACCTGGTGATGGCGCTTGTCGCAGATGATCCTACATTGTTGCTGTGTTACGTGGAAAGATGGTTGAAGATTTTTGCGGGAGAAATAATTCTGGATCATGCTTCAGGTTAGCGAATAATCCGCGATCTCTGTTTCTCCGTACTAAGCAATTTCCTGCTGTCCAGATCCTCGTAGGTTCACTGAAAACAGACCATGGATGTTCCACTGCGGTCTTCCGTGTGTTATTCGGGAGGGCATTCGTTAACTAGAAGGAAAAGTGCTCTTCTCTCCTAAGCATCGGGTCGCGCATCCATGTTATCTGCTGCCGGCCGAAATTAAATCTCGACAACTTTGATTTACAGTCGCTTTATAGACCATCATCCCCACGTACTTTCATCGCCGTTCTCAGTCCTCCTTGCTCTCCAGCCAACCACCGGCCACCGCTATTCGAACGAAAGTAAGCAGAACTTCGGGGTAGCTTGCACTCATAGCTGACCAGCGTGGTACATCCACAGTCTGCAATCATACAAGTCCCGATACGATGGCCAATAATACCATAGGCTAGTGATTTCGGCCACATCTGTGCGATCCAACGTGGCGACGATGACGACGGTATGCCGATGGCACTTCACGTATCGCAAGCCTGTCACAGGTGGCGAGAAATCACATTGTCCAATCGCATCTTATGGACGACGTTCACTTTGGGGTCTCTCAGACGAACAAAAACCCGTTTCCCTTCTCCAACTTTACTTGACGTGGTCCGGCCTGTCGTACTCGCAGGGTCTTTTATCCTGGCCGGAGCTGATGCCTACAAGCGCTTTCTCCTGCCTTTTTGCTGAGGCGTTCCGCTGTCCCAACCTTATTTCCCTCACACTCAAAGATACATACGCCTCCGGTAACACCCCCCCCCTCTCGTAACATTCCTCAGCACAGTCAATCCTCCTAACCTTCGCAAACTCGAGCTCGGAAATATCATCTTCTCCGATCCTGCGATTTCCGAGATTTTGACTTTGGTCCCTCTCCTCCGAGAACTGTCGTGTCCTTTATCCGCGAGCAGATATCGTCTTTCCCAGACTTGGAACTTCCGCGGGGAGTTGTCCCACAGCTGGCTGTTGTCAAATTAGCCTTCTGGTACAGGCCGGATATGGATGCTCTGGCATTTTGCATAGGTCGGTCTTGACTCGATGACTGTAACCTACCCTGCTCATCCCGGTGATATGGGACTATTACATAACACTTGGTTACGAGAGGAGGCTGGGGAGCAGTACAGTTTCAAATGGATCGATGATGGTCCTCTGAGCACTCGCATTCTCAGGAAACCTTATGTCGTGCCTGCCTCTGCCGTGGTTGAGATTCTCCTTGATGAAGCGAGCTTGGAGGACGTCGTCAGCATGGAAGGACTAGGAGGTTTCTCGGTAATCCCTTCATAGAATGGCCAACTTCTTTACGGGTGTTTGGATTTCTTTCAATGATAGGTGGGGATAGCATGGCAAGGATATATGTTCGTGAATTCCGCTGCTTTTCCCTCTATCATCTCCGACTTTAGATTCCTGATATCTTTCATCTCGCCGTTCTTCTTGTTACATTTTATGGACTACAGCCTTAACGACGTCGGGGTCACTGCCTTAAGCTTTCTTACCGAGCAACCGTGTTCAATGTTCCTGAATACCATGGCCAGTGCGAACTGCTGTGATTGTTCTCCCGGTCATCGAAACGGGGGATGAAGGCTGTACAATGTGCCTGTCATGACTTTCCCCAGTCTGGTATCTGAAATATTATAGGATTTATATTTTTGGAATCGATGCCCTGCTTTACCTTATTATCGATGGAATTACAGGGGGAGAGTGTCCAAATAGTGAGGACACGTCACGACGAAGCCCCGCGATTGAACCCCATCAATGTGCGTGGACGGAATACGGGACCTCCTGCTACGTCTATCTGTGTCCATGTTCCAACGGGACGACTGGTACGTGTCCTTTCTTACTCAGGCTGATACCAGGAGGTACACGTCGCTTACTTGTCATTCATCTAGATATCCTCAAGGCGACATTTTTCCGAGACCTCAGGAGTCCTGCCATCTCGCCCTCTTCTCCCCATCACAGTACCTGGATCGAAGTTATCTGAATAGTCCTCTCATGTGCTTCCCCCCCGCTTTCTACACGACGTATCTGCGAATATTTTCCGCGTACGGACCGGCATGACTTACTCTTAAGTACAAGTCGCATCTCCGAGAGTAGTCCGACGCAATGCTAGTCCAGCCATTCCTTGCTCTCGTTGTCTTCAGCAGCTGTGTAGTAGTCTTCGGCGGTCGGATTCCTGCTTTCCGACGCCCCAAACCACCGGGGATACCAAAGGTGGCAGTGGGCGACCTCGAAGTAGTAGCAGCCAATGCTCGACTGCGCGCACGCGATCTGCCACCGTACGACACGATATATTACTTTGACCAGCTCATCGACCACGATGATCCGTCCATGGGGACATTCCAGCAGAGATACTGGCACTCTGCTGAGTTCTATGAAGCAGGTTTACACAAATGTCGTCTTACGTGGGTTCTCCCACTGACATATATATATATATCCCAGGAGGTCCGATAATTCTCATGAATGCTGGCGAGGTCGACGCGAGCAGTGAGAAAAATCCCCATACTTCCACAAGCTGTGTCTGAATGTCTGCCATAGGTTATTACGGCTACGTGACAAACAGCACCATCAATGGCGTTGTTGCGCAACAGTTCGGAGGTGCAGCTATAGTTCTCGAACATCGCTATTTTGGCGAGAGCAATCCTTTCCCGAACCTGGACGTGGACAGTCTCGAGTATCTAACGATAGCACAAACCATCGAAGACCATGTCTACTTTGCCCAGAATGTCGTCCTTCCGCAGGACAATGGTGATAGTGTAGGTCCAGATAAGGCGCCGTGGATCCTGATGGGTGGAAGTTACCCAGGTTGGTATCGTAGCAATCTGAAGATAACTGAGATCTCCTGACGTATCGTTCGTAGGTGGTTTAGTGAGCTGGACGATGGCCGCGTCAGTTGTTCCGCAGTGGTTCAAAGACCGTCAGCAGCACTGACAATTCTGTGGATCAGACATCCCGACATATTCTGGATTGGCTACGCCTCATCAGCAGTCGTGCAAATTCAGCTGTCCGCAGGCTTTGATTGATCTTCCTATTCGACCCAAGCTGACAGAGACTTTGCAGAGACTTCTGGCAATACTACGAGCCTATCCGTGAGAACATGCCGATGAATTGTTCCGCCGACGTCGAAGCCGTTATCGCCTACGTCGACGGGGTCTTCACTAGCAATGATACCCAGACCCAAAGTAGCATCCAAAGAATGTTTGGGTTTACGTCTAACTTGGAGGTGGCTCAAGCTTGTGGGTACTTACTTACTTCTTCATACTCCATCCATTCTTTTTTTTTTCTAACTCTGATCGTTACCTTCAGTGAGATGGGATTTGTGGACGTGGCAGGATCTGCAGCCAAACACGGGTCCTGGTGCAGCCTTCTACCAATTCTGTGATGCGCTGGAGGTGAAGGATGGTGTGTCGGCGCCCGAGAGTGGATGGGGAGTGGACAATGCGCTATCGGCATGGGCGAATTGGTTTGCCGTAAACTATGAAGCTGAAACTGGTGGGTGAAGGGGCTTCATTCATCTCTAGGCCGCTTTGCAGATGCTCCTTATTTAGATTGTGCTTCCCTTGGCGTGTAAGATGCCTCTGAGGCGCCTGTCCTCTCGAGCTGATTGATCTCTGGGAATATTCTTGTAGGTGTCCTGGTTCCTTGCCACCGAAGCCTGCAGCTGTGCCCGACAAACCAGCCATTCATAAGGAGCTCGAAGCTAGAGTCGATTACCCTGTCGATGATGCAACCCGTTCTTGGTCCTGGTTGGAGTGCATAATCTTCATGACGATAATCGAGTATACCTGATGCTAACATTTTAAACTGCAGATGTAATGAAATTGAAGAATCACTGGTGAGTTTCTCAGACAACCTCATGATGCAAACTGATAAATCTTTATAGGACGGACCGCCTATTGGACAGGGAGGTATCGTTTCGCGACTAAACACGTGGCAATACGATCTGGTTAGCCCTCGGACTAGTGATTGCACGATGATGTAGTTGACATGCGCTTGGACCTCTCTCTCCAGGAAGGCTGCGTAACCACTTTTCCCGACGCATTCTCTACCGCTCCGCTCCCCGACGGCGAGTGTATCAACACCCTGTACGGCGGGTGGGGTGTCAAAAACACAAGGCTGTTCTTTGCGAATGGCAAACGTGGGTTGCTGGAGATCCACGATGCATCTCCTCCTTTTTGCTGACGGATGTTCCCATTAGGCGACCCGTGGAGAGAGTCAACCGTGTCTGCCGTGAATAGCACGGCGGTGAGCACGGACGACCAACCTATCGGCCTCTCGGACGGGTTCCATTGTAGTGATTTGGTGATGGCGCTTGCGGCGCCTGACGACACGGTCGTTGCGGTGCAAAATTCGTTCTTGGCCTACGTCGGGAAGTGGTTACCAGGATTTGTCGCGCAGTAGATTTTGGAAAGCATGACGAGTGACGGAAGGGGGGTTGATAAAAGTACATCCACTGGTATAGATATCCGACCCCTGGACGGACCCCCAGGTCAAGATATAATATTTTTCCCAAGACCCAACTGCGCGAGATAGCCCAGGGGCTAGCATGTCCCCAGATCCTGAAAGGCGATCGAGACTGTATAGAGATGTCGAATTCAGTGCCTTTCGAGAAATTGATGTCGTGTTTAGTGTGAGTTGTGTTTTTTTGATCATTGGCAGTGATTGCTTCTCAGTTTACATTCTCAGACAAATGAGTACCTCCCGCAGCACGTTCATATCCTGATAGATTGTCGCCACATCAAGAGTCAGAAGGTTCAAGTTGGACCGACGTGCTATAACTTGGCTTATGCTGTTTCAGAGGGATACCAGGAGATCTTACAGGCATTATAGCTGTCTCTCTCTTTATTCTGTTCACCGACCATGACTGTGTCGCAGAGAGAGGAACGAAACATATCGCCTGAGAGGCCGGCGACGATTGCACTTCGATTGCCGGTCGTATCTAACATGTCTCACATGCGCTTGCTGTCTCTCCATTCTACCGGACGCAACAAGAGGATTTGGGAGGCAGAGGTGGTTCTCATCCACACCCATTTTTGTGATGCAAAAAATCGGAAGGATCGCCAAGTATATATATGTACATGTTAGATGAACATTTTTTTTTTGTCAACTATTGCCTGTTTCCGGTCGTAGAACCGCTCAAATAAGAATAAGTTATAAACTTTCAGTCCGAGTTTTCTCGCGTGGTGGCGTGCCCTATTAGGTGTTGCCTTCCTTTTTTGTGCCTAACACTTTACCCACCATGACTGACGACAGGTATGCCATGAAAACGCTCGACAATGACGGTATCCACCGGACGCTGCTCGGCGGCGACGATGACGACGACGAAGATGGGGAGAATGAGACTCTCATTCAGCAGCAGCCAGTGCCATCAGATCCGCGGTTCGACCGACCAATTCCATCACCGTTCGTTCGCGCAGGGCTGCTGCTATTCGTCGCCTTTTTGTTCTGGTTGGCGTTTTCACTACGAAAGGTTGTGTGGGAGGGTAAATCTACAGAAAAGTATGACTTGGGATCTGTCATGGTCGTGCACCGTGGCTGACGACGATGTCACAGGTCGTCAGATACATCTTGGTGATGAAGAGGGAAGGTAGATGATGACCGCAAAATTGTGTTGGTGGTGAAAGCGTATGTCGGCGTCTTGCATTATTTATTTATTGCATACGATATAGTGTGGTGAGAGCTGAGTGTTCATCTTGTTCGCTTTCTTTTACTCATCTCGCATAAAGGAACATTTTGCTGTCAAGGACTTTTTCATATGGCTGTCGTTGTTTGTATTCTACAATGGAATCATTCTCTCTTACACAATTCGTGTGAATTTTTCGTTCACCAAGATACGAAAAGCAGCTTTTGATTGGCGTCTTTCAATTCGAGCGCAGCAAGGATGAAGATGGCGATCACGTCTGCTGTAGGTGGTCTGGCCGGGCCAACAGGTGCTCCGAATGAGGTATGTCGAACCTAGACTTAGCTTCCATGATCGCCACCCCACACACCCACCCACCTACGCCTAGAAATACCCCATTAGCTGGCAATTCTTCATTGATGCCTTGACGGACTTCGAATTGAATAACTCCTCTCTCTCGCTTCTTCGGATGTCACGGTCTCTGGTCTTGTTGATACCGTAAGTGTATTTGAACGTCATTCATGTTTTCCTTGGCATAAAAACTAGCAAGGGGAACTCATATGCGGCCCTTTGGATGTCATAGATGCAATCTACTCCCAGCTGGGTGGGACAGAGTTCTGTTGCTCCACTCCCCACATGCTCGCATTCGAAAGATATCCCCCTATTAATCCGCGAGACTTTATTGTCCAAGCATATCCTAATACTATGGACATCTGTAACGCGGACCTTGCCGTCACTGACACGCCTGTCCTCGGTGAAAGCTACCTCTACAATTGGTGTCTTGGAGATCCAGTTTTGAAAAGGTTTGTCTTCCGCCAGTGTTGATCCCAGTTTAATGTACACAACCGGCTGTAGTGCCTGTCCTACCCCTCTGTGGACTTCCCCCTCCCCCCCCGGATAGGACTACTCTCCACGGTACCGAGTGATGTTTCGGACAAGCTTATCGAGGCTGTAAATGAGGATAAATGCTCAAGTTGTGAGAGAGGGAACATTGTCGGAAAGAGCGTCAATTATTCGATCCATGAGTTCCTGCGGTAATCTAGGTGTCGAAAACTGCACGTTGTAGGGTAGGGTTAGGTTGTAAGGTGGTCATGGTGGTCATGGACAAAGTTCTGGGAGGGGGGCTTTGAGGTCTCTCCCTCTCTTTATGAATAACATCTGAGAGTTTTGACATTTGGTTGATCAAAATTCATAAGCAAGATTCATGTCCAATCTGGTATGCATACATCACTGCTAGCCATAGTGATGTCAGGGAACATCTATTCTTTCAGGTTAAAAAAAACACCAAACGTAAAACGAGAGAGAGGGGAGAGAATTAGTAGTGCGGATAACGTACTCACGGTTCAGGAGTTCACAACTTCATGGTCGCGAGTGCAATTGGGACCCTTTCACAAGTCGTCCCAAAAAAAAAAAAACCTTGAGAGAGTACGAACCGCCGGTAATCAAAAGATGGGATCACTGACCCATTTTGTTTGTAATTTCAAAAATGGAAAACCCCTCCCTCCCTCCGATCTGACCCATCACACGACTTGGCCGTTGAGTGCGTCCGTCTTACATCGACAATGAGACAGATGGAGAATGGGAAACTGTCTGTCGAACCTTATACTAATAATTATTGTTATTTCAGGTTACACAGTTCACAAGTTCATAGTTTCTTGCCGCTACGAATATAGATGTGTTCTATACGGAAAGCATAGTACATTAGTTTCTGTGGAGCAAAAAAATTCCAGACAGGAAAATTAGGGGAAAATTAAAGTTCAGTCCAAACGGCCGCCAGCTTCTACTTTTTTGATGGTCAGCGCCTTAGTTTTATTTTTTCTTTACCGCCAAACGGGAAAAAAGACAATGCAAAGCGGACTCCGGGCCGACATGGCCGGACCGCCTCCAATTGGCGCTTACATAATATCAGTGGCTGGCCAAGGATCAGCATCGAAAATCGTTTTTTTCTTTCACCTACTACCACCTTCCAGCGTCGTATCAAGCCGCGAATTTTTTTTACATTTTTGCAACTCTCAAAAACCAAAAAAAATAATCAAATGTCCGACGAAGAAGTGCCAGGCGGCCCCAGCCAGGCTGAAATCAAGGGAGAGAACGACCCAAACGCGCCGATTAACGTCAAGGTGATGATGAATGCCCATTGAAGGGGGGGGGGGGGGGGGGGGGGGGGGGGGGGGGGCACGGTCGCTGAGCGGTTTTTTCCCTTCTCTTCAGGTTGTGACGTCGTCCGGCGAAGAAGTATTCTTCAAGATTAAGCGCAGCACGAAGCTGAGCAAGCTCCAGGGTGCCTATGCGAGCAAAGTGGGAAAGGACGTGGCCACAATCAGGTGAGTGAGCACAGCGCCGGCACCTTTTCATTAGATGATGGATGAAAATCTGAACCTTTTTTTTTTTTTTTTCCCTTTCAGGTTCTTGTACGATGGTAACCGGATACAGGAAGACGATACACCAGAGTCCCTAGAGATGGAGGATAACGGTGCGTTTCCCCGACTTTTGTACTTGTTGAATTACTGGCTAATTGCATTTGTTCTAGATACTATTGATGTTATGGTTGAGCGTACGTTCGTTGCTTTCCCCTTCTTGTTTCTCATGCTCATGCTCGGCGTTGTGACGACCAGAGGTTGGAGGCTCTGCGCTGCCGTGACTAACCCTCTTCTTGTCGCTATATTCTGCTTCGCCAATCAATATGATATTCAAAGTTGTACTACCTATCGACAATTGCACTCTCCCTTTCTTGTAAGCTCCCCCTATATGTGGTTTTTCTAAGAGTTTCGGATGGGCGATTGGGCCCTGGTGTCCAGCTGCCTCACACAAGAAGAAGAGGGGAATCCTGCGTTCCGTTTTTATTCTGACTTCTGAACGGCCCGCTTGCAAGCTTGGGTATGTCAACCTTCACCTCGATGCAGCAGCAGCAGGTTGAATATCACCCCTTTTAGATTGTAGGCTCATATTCGAGAACCATGATTGCAGTGGCATTCTAGCCTGTAGGATCGATCCTGCGCGTAAGCCCGATGTGTTGATCCCGACCCGCTGCATTCACTCCGTGGGACGTCGTCCTTCTAGTCGGTGTTGCGGGTCGGTTCCATGAGGTACGTTTTGAGCTGTGACGGAAATGGTGTGCCGGTTCTGCTTTAGCAGATTGCCATGTGGGGACCGTACGAATATCGTACAAGATAGGTAACGTGCAACCCCCTCAAAATCAGTAGTGCCATTATATCGCTTCTCACCGCTCAGCAGGCGGGGCTTCTTCCTTATTTAAATCCCCTAATTTTAGAAGCCAATCACGGTGAGGATAATTAAGGAGAGTGTGGGGGAAAAATGTCGCTAATGACGACTTCTGAAAGGTACCCACTTCGGCTATCGTAATCAGCAGATCTGTATGCCGCGTGGATCGACAGTTGTTCTTCTCTATAAATCTGCTACGTTTACACGTCAGGCAAGCACCTATCCCAAACCAGCAACGATGCGTGTCATTGCCTATCTTCTTCTCCCTCTGTGTTTCCTTGCGGGTGAGTGTGTGTGCCGTTCCTTGTGGTGATGATTGCTGGAACCGAACCTGCTACCAAGTTCACGCCCAGGATTCTTCCGGCCCCCAATCCCAATCATTCTTCAGCACCGTCTGGCCACCGGGCCCAGGACAGCTCACATCGCCCCAACTCCCAGACGAGGAGCTCACGACGATGCTCAACGAGATCGACCCGGCGCGGATCCAAGCCATCATCGAAAAGCTCGTCTCGTTCGGTACCCGCAACACCCTCTCGAACCAGACGGACCCGACGCGCGGTATCGGCGCCGCGAGGGACTGGATCGCGAGCGAGATGCGCGGGTTCGCCGAGGCGTCGCAGGGGCGCATGAGCGTCACGGTCCCTAGCTACGTGCAGGGGCCCGCGGAGGGCATACCGACGAGCACGGTCATCAGCAATATCGTCGCGACGCTCCGCGGGGCCTCGGACCCTGGCCGCGTGTACGTCGTCTCGGGGCACTACGACTCGCGCAATTCGGACGTGGACAATTTTGTGGATGACGCGCCGGGGGCGGACGATGACGGGAGTGGCGTGGCGGTGTCGATGGAGCTCGCGCGGGTGATGGCGATGGCGAGCCGGAGCCCCGCGGCGACGATTGTGTTTGCGGTGGTGGCGGGGGAGGAGCAGGGGCTGTATGGGAGCGCGTTCCTGGCGGAGCAGCTGAGGAATGACTCGGCGGTGGACGATGTGCAGGGGATGCTCGATAATGATATCGTGGGGAGCTCAACGGCGGACGACGGGAGCACGGATCCGTTCGATATCAGGATGTTCGTGCAGGGTATCCCGCCGACGGACACGCTGAGCGAGGTCATGGCGCGTGTTCAGGTCGGGGGCGAGAGCGATACGCCGGCGAGGGAGCTGGGCAGGTTCGTAGCTGAAGTGGGCTCGAATAGCGTGACGAACATGACAGGCGAGTTTCCTTTTTTTTTTTTTTCCACACCCTTTGACGTTCAGAAACCCAGTCCAAATGGTATACCGCCCCGACCGCTACCTCCGCGGCGGCGACCACCTCTCCTTCCTCCGGAACGGCTTCCCCGCCGTCCGATTCACAGAGCCGCACGAGAACTTTGCGCACCAGCACCAGAACGTGCGCGTCGTCGATGGGGTGCAGTTCGGGGACCTCGTCGAGTTTTGCGATTTCGAGTTCAACGCGAGGGTGGCTAGGGTGAACGGCGCGGCGCTGTGGGCGCTTGCGCAGGCTCCGGGGACGCCTAAGGGGGTCGCGATTGATACTAGTGTGCTTACGAATAACTCTACGTTGAGTTGGGCGTTGGACGCGAGTGGGGGCGGGAGCGTGGCGGGGTACGAGATCGTGTGGCGCCCTACGGACCTGCCGGTCTGGACGCATGCTATCCCAGTGGGGAACGTCACGCAGGCGACGGTCCTCCTCTCGAAGGATAATGTCGATTTCGGCGTGCGCGCCGTCGGGAGTAACGGATATCGGAGCCCCGCCGCTTTTCCGTTCATTGAATCTTGAGAGAGTGAATCATATAACAGGCAATTGTACAAGGGCGATAAAATAAATAATATACATTAAAAAAAAAAAAAAAAAAAAAACAGCGAATTACCAGATCCTTAAGTGTAAAAAATTTAAAACAAAACTCCCGTGGAGAAAAAGCACATCAACCCCGACTCTTCTGCTTCTGCTCCCGCCTCGCAGCCCTAATCAACAGCATTTTAGCCCTCTGGTACTCGCCATCCTCCTCGTCGCTCGAATCCGCCCACATATCCCTCTCCCCATCCCCATCCTCACCCCCACCCACATCCGCATCCGCATCCGCCTTCCACCCCCTCGCACGTGCCCACAGCGCCGCGTCGTCATAATCCACAGCAGGCGGTGTCGTGGAGAACGTCGGCTGCAGCGCCACCCGCACGCTCTTCCGTCGCCTCGGTGCCTCTGTCGATGCCGATGCCGATGCGGTGGAAGCCGTACCACCAGACACGTCGGAACCCACGTGAATGTGGTTCGCATACGCGGCGTCTTTCACCGGTGGTGGTGGAGGGGGAGGAGGAGTTTTCTCGTCTTCAAACACCTCGTGTCCCGTCTCGTACGATGAGATGGACGCAGCGTCGTCATCACGGCCACCACCATTCAGCTTGCCATTGGTTCTTGGTGGAGGAGGAGAAGCCACAGCAGGCATCATCGGAGAAGGCGTCCTACTCGGGCTCTTCAGCGCACTACGCAGGGGAGACAAAGCCGGTCTCGGCTTGGGCGCCGCCACCACCACCACCACCGCCGGCCTCTGCACCATCTTATTAGGCTCAGACCCCGACTCGTCGTCAAATACCGACTTGGGAGCCGTCGGGATCTCAATCGCCGCCGCCGCCTTCCTTCCCCTTTGCAGCGCTGCCTCTGCGTCCATCCTCCGTAGCTCCCTCACGGTGGGGATAGCCGGAGCCTTGACGTCCACCATCAGAGCGGCAGGCTTCTCCGTGCCTCCTCCCACGCTCTGGCGCTTATCAACATCAGCAGCAGCCCATCCCTCCCGGTTCGCCCTAGCTACATCCTCCACGATGCTCATCAGACTGACACTCCCCTCTCCCATACCAGCACCACCAGCACCACCACCAGCAGGAACATGAACTGGGGAACTCGCCCGTCTCTCAGCCTTGGTAGTAGTAGTAGTAGTAGTAGTCCAAGTCTTCCCCGTCCCAGGTCCGTCATCCAGACTGGCTCTCTTCCTGTGTACTATAACCGAAGCCGAAGAAGAAGAGCGCCCAATCACAGAATCCGGCGCCTTCGGAACAGGAGGTATAACCGATGATGTGGCACGTAATCGTGCCGGAGCACTCGAAGCACTGACCAGCGACGAATTCCTCGACAAAGTCGGTGGTGATGGGGGGCTCAGCATCGTTGCAGCGGATCCCATCCCAGTACCGGTATGGATAGTATCTGTACTTAGTTCCGCCGGTCCGTTGGCGTTGGGCATAGACTTGCGATTCGACTGTTTCCTCTTCACAGTTGAGCGAGTCTTCCGTGGTGGTGCAGCGGCGGCGACAACAGTATCACTCGCCCATCCCCTATCCGCTCCGGACGCCGTCTTCTCTCGCTGACTACCACCACTACCACCATCAACCCATCCCTCCTCCGCCTGGCCGATAGAAAGATCAACGATCCCTCCTCCATCCAGGGACGTGCTCCGTCTCCGATTTTTCAGCTCTGCCTCGCTGAGATCGCCTTGGTTCCTCGCGGCGGCGGCGGCGCCACGGCCTTTCTTCAACCTCCTCGAGCCACCCACCACATCGCTGACGACACGCGGTCTGGGCGTTGAGGGCGTAGAAGGAGGAGCAGAGGGCATAGCAGGGAGCGGCGGTGGAACGGGCGTCCTTGAAAAGGAGGACTCGTGGACATCGAGTTTCTTGATGTTCTTCGCGGTCCGCGTATGCCATACTTTCGGACCTCGTCGTCTTCCCCTCCTCGTAGGTGTCTCGTCGTCGTCGTCGCCGTCGCCGTCGTCCTCGGCACCACGCTCGCTCTCCGCTTTCCTATGACCGTGGCGGCTGAACAGCCCTTTGATGCTACCAAAGAAACCACCACCGCCACCTGTGGGGGACGTTGGAGTGGCCAGCGCTGCCTTTCGCTTAATAGAGATCCTACTCGACGACGCGGTGAACCTGGCATTTTCAACGACCCGAACATTGGCCTCGTCATCCTCCTCATCGCTACTGCTATTCGTGTCCTCTGGGTTTCTTCCCAGCGACCCACTCCGGAAGCCCAAATCCTCCTCGGTGATCCGCCGCGGGAGGACGTGTTTCTGCAGAGGTGGAGGAGGGCTGGTTGCGCGCGGCAAGCCGGTGTCGGCGATCGCGTGCGCAGGCGGTATTTGAATTTGCAGCGGAATTTCAGGATCGGTAGGGGTGGTGGACGAGATGGAGGGCGGCGCTTCGAGGTTGGAGTAGATGTGATGCACGGGATCTGGAGTGACTATGACGTTGATTTGGGAAGCGGATTGGGAGGGGGCGATGGAGGAGATGGAGGAGGAACGTCGTTCACCTGCGAGAGTCGGTGAAGACGGAGGGGGAAGCGGCGTGTCCTTGTCGCTGGCAGAAGGAGCTTGTTTTTTGCCCAGTCAGTCAAAATGAAGCGTCCGCGCAGCACAAGGGAGGAAAAAACATACCGGCGCCTTCATTCAAAACGCTGTCGACGTGCTTTCCTATCTCGACCCAACGCCAACCACAGTCGGCAAGGGCCTTGGACCGAACGACGAGTCCGTCTCGAACGGCCCCGAAGCGTTTCGCATCCAGTTCCTTCTCCTTTATCGCGAGGTGGGCCTCGCATGCCTGGAGTTCTGCCTGCGCGTTTTGCAGTTTCTTGTTTGTGCCCAGGTGGAGAAACGTGTGTGAGGATGTGTAGGACATGGAGGGACTCTCGTCGGATTTGAGGGAAAGGGTGGACGAGGATTTCGTGTGGGGGCTGGGGGGCAGTAGTGAGTCGCGGTTGCTGTTGCTGGACTTGGAGACGGATTTGGAAGCTTTTATGAGACGGGTGACGCTGAAGCAAGGGCAACACAAGTCAGCATGTGAAGTAGAATACGAGGGGGTAAAAGAGAAAAAAGATGAATATATTATTGCGTGCGACGGCCCGGGGTATATCTCACCGCCGCATGCATTGCGGTGGAACGTCGAGCAAAAAACCCGTGGAGTGGAACACCGTAAGGAAGGCATATATGTATATAGCACACGCACAGAATTTCCCTGTCTCGCATTATGTGGGCCACTTCGTCTTCCAAGTCCTTCAGGGCCGTCAGATAGTCGCGCCACCGCTCTATCGAGAGCGCGTACGCACGGAATGCCTCGCCTGCACCTGCGAGAGAGCCGGCTACGGAGAGGATCACTTGAGACGCGGGCGGGGGGCACGCCGACGCATAGGCGGCCAGTGATGTCAGTGCGACATTGGAGCTGTCGAGGAGGGAGTGCAGATGCTTGGAGTGGTCCTTTTCCTGAGAGAGGAGATTGGTGAGGAGGCGCGAATCTGCGGGACGGTGAACCATCCAAAAAGGAAAGGGGAAGGAAAGGGCGGAAGGAAAAGGAAGGTGTGACGGGTCAGCGACTCGGGAATGAATTTTTCACGAGGGGTGGGTGGGGTTGTCGGGTATTTGCTTAATAGGCTATGTCACGTGTGGATTACGTCATTGCGAAGCCCCTGTCGTCTCGTATTTCAGCTTACGTTAAACAAAACTTGGCAAACTATTACATCAAAGAGCTAGTGAACTCTGTGCAAAGGTTGCATGAAAGCAGCGAATAAAGCTACCAGAAATCATCGTATTTTTTTGTTGAAGGGGCTTGGCGGTCAAAGTAGCCTAACCCATTCAAAGCCTAACGGCGACTTTGCGCCAAGGACGAGAAATTAGATTTACAAATGAGAATAAATTACTTTCAACGAACAGCCAGCCCATAGGATAGAAAATTGCAATCGTCGTCACGCCTCCATGAGTCTATCCCATTTCTTCAAACACGAGTATCCATCATAATCTAACGCGGACACAGTAAAAAAAATCACAATCGAAGGATCTCAAACGTCGGCTCACCGAAACTCTTCTTCTGATCACAAGAGCACTTGCCCCGCCTCCAGCTCTCCTCCTTCCTGGGGCAATGCGTATACGGACTATGCTCGTACCCAATCTCATCAAAGAACTGTATCTGATCCTTCCTCACAAACAGCGACGCCGCGATACTATGCACGGGCGCATCGCCCCACCGCTCGTAATAGAACCCGCCCCTCGACTCGAGGTACTCAAAAAACGCTTGGTACGCCGGCCCGCGCCAGAACCGCATATCGGCGATCTCAAAGTTGCTCCAGACTTTTTTTCGGGTTGTCAACAAAGGAATGGGAAAATGGAATGGAATGGGGGACTCACAATGGCAGAGATTATAGTCCAGGCCTCCGTTATCGGACTGGAAGCCCATCGCGTTGTCTTCGACGACGTACTCTGGGTGGAGCGCGACAAAGTCCCGGACGTGGGTCCACAGTGACGGGATCGTCCGCTCGAACTCGTACATCGTGATCGTGAACGCGTACACCTTCTTGCTGTCCTCCATGAACACAAACGGGTCAAAGTTGACGTCGCAGTGGAAATGGACGTTAGGCCTGTCAACCCCGACCACCAACCAACGTCAGACAGGGTCATTTCGCCAACAAGAGCAGGGGAGGGGCGACGTACTCTACCCGCCAGTACCACCGGTACTGTTCCATCAGAGGATGCTTGAAGAAGAAACCGGAATTGAAGCGGCACATGTTGCGATAGGGGACACTCCCTGCGAACCCGTCCCTTCTGTGAGCGGGACACACAAGATAGCGAGAGAGATGGAAAAAAATAAAATAAAATCACGGAAGCGCACCTCCATAGATGACATTCTCCGCAACCATCTCCTCCCTCGACGCCTTGGCTCTCTCCTCGTCGATCCAATCGGGCTGAAACCAGTGTTCACGCGGGATCAGCCCAAATTCCATTTTCGACGATGTTACCACGGACACTCTCCTAAAACAAAAGACGACGAAGGAGTCAAGAGACAAAGGGTAACTCCTTGAATCAAGCAAGGCGCACCTCTTAAAGTCGTCCGAAAACTCCTCTTCGTTCAGCAGGACGTACGGATAGTGGTACTGCCGGTTGAACCGGTCCTCGATCTCGCGGATGCTCCCGATGACTCCTTGGAGGTCGGTGTTGCGCGCGAGGATAACGAACGTGGCGTTCGCCCGCCGGGCATGAGTGGTAGTGGTAGTAGTGGTGTTAGTGTTCGCGAAATACTCGTCTGGGACGGGGAACAGCTCCGCAGCGGTGCTGCTCTCCGACCCGCCGCCGTGGAAATGCGAAACGATGTTACCCAGGGACGTTATCCGTCCGTATTCGTGGTGGGTGAAGGACAGGAAATAATGAACGCTGAGCTGTGTCGGTCGGGAATCGTAAGCCTTTCCACACACACACACACAGAGGGAGAGAGCAGACGCACCACGACACCCAGGATAAGCAAAAGATACCGCCCCGTCGTATTCATCGCACGTTCCCCCAGCCAAAAACGAAACGAAACCAAAAAAGAAACCAAAAAAAAGCGTGCGGGAGGGCAACTGCAGATATCCGGATCGCAGCGAAAGGCGAAAAGGGGTGTTTGTTGCGCTCAGCGTTAGAATAGGAAAGCGGCAAGGGTGGTGTGTGTGGCGATGATGATGATGAAATCGGCAGCTAGCCTATGTCGGAAGTAAAAACGGGGGTTGTCATTTGTCATCGGCGCGCGCTGCGCCGAGGTTACTAACCTCTTTTTTTTTTTTTTTTTTTTGGTTGTCTCCCCCTTCCATAATGCATGACGAGGTTTGGATGCCATGGCTTTGTGCATTGCCTCGGACTGAGATATGGGCTATGGGCGGCGCGGAGGACGTGGGAGCGTTGGTTCTGCTCAGATCTGTATCCTGTTTTGCTGGTTCAAAGGTTCTTCTGTCGATGGGGGAGGGGAGGGGAGAGGATACGTTTCGTGAAGTGTTTGTTTCCTTAGTAACTGCTGCGTTGAATAATGTTTTTTTTGATACCTCACTCTCTCCAGGGCATGTTATGCATGGAACGGTACTTATATGTGAATGGAACGGTCCGGCGAACCCCCCCTCACGGTGGAAGATGTATCGGACTCGTGCTTGATCGTCTCAGGCTATTGATAGACGTCAACGAAGTTATGCAGGTGTTGTGCTCTCCTCAGCCAGCATACATGCATGTAGTCCGGAGTCTGTCCTGGGTTAGGGAACTCGCCGGTTTACTTGCATTAATTTCGGTGCGTCATGGGTCACGAGGGTGGGTGGCAAGGCGTTGCATACATATATATGCACGAGGCAAAACATTGAAGATGCCAAGTTGTCAGTGTGTCTTTAATGCCCAAACATTGAATTTTATCTTTCATTCCAATCCCTTTGATCAAGGCTGGCGGGAGTACAAGGTGAGTATCATTTGTTACGGACTTTGATCGTGCTCAGAATCCAGGCTACCTAGTGTCATTTATGCGGCTTCCCTTGGCTTCCTTGTCACCGTACAAGAAGACCCCCCATCTTCCTGCATTGTACATGGCTTCGCCTTAGCCTTAGGGGGGGAGGGGGGAAGCCTTGACCTTTTTATATTTATACATCTAAATTTCCGTTTCGGAATGTTCCTTTTTTGATACATCTATCAAAAGTATATGCACGCGCAGCACCAAGCAACGACAACGGGGACCTGTTGCACTTGTCATTCAAAGTCTGTCGAGGCGATGGCAGTTCCCCCTCCCTCTCTCGAAGCCAAGCCCAGGGTTACGAGCGGGACAGCGAAAGGGAGAGGGAGAGGGAGAGGTACACAGTTATTTTTAGCCTTACGTTTATTTCTGGAACATCGCGACGCGACGGCATTCCCCTGCCGACCGGATCCAGAATGATTCTTCCTCCGCAGTTACAGCACAGCGAATCACAAACAGCCATCAAGCGACTGCCACCATCACGCATTTGTTTTTCTCTCGCCCTCTCTTTCTCCTCCCTTCATCATCCCATTTCCCATCCCATCCCATTCCACCAACCGCCTTGCAACGGTTTCAACCCCAGTGACGCTCTTTTCTTTTTTGTTTTTTTTCCCCTTCCCACCTTGCAAGAAAACCCGCCTTCCACATCGTGTAATGATGCAGCGTTTCGCCTCTTCTGCCGCTCTGGCGCTTGCCATTGCCGCCAGCTCAGTCTCTGCACAGAGCTCGTCGACGACGTTCCCCGAGGGCGTCCTCGCCACGGGAACCATGGGTACGACCAACCCTGCCGAACCAACCTTAGGAACGACCGTCAACCAGACATCCTACGCACGGCTGCTCAGCTTGAACTCTGTTGATGTCAGTGTCCTTTTTTTTTTTTCTCTCCCGCCCCTTGGTTGTAGCGTGTAGCTCAAAATAACTCACAGGATTGGTGTATCTTTGCTCCTCCCTCAAACAACACCATTGGTGAATCCGAGGTACGTGTGTGCGTGGCACCGGTGAGGAGCTGCTGTTGCTGACCAAGGGTCTGCGGTGAATACAGGCTATCGAGGTCGCGTGGTGCACGAAAGCGCGGAACAACGCCCGTGTCATCCCCGACGGTGTCGTCACCGGTGTTTCCTTCCTCAAAACCGGTGCGCTAACCTTTTTTTTCTTCTAATCCATCTTGTCAGGTGAGGCTAACCCGTTATGTGAACAGACTTTTACGTCCAAATCTATGGCTACGGTGATTTCACAAAATTGAACATCGCAGCTGGTGACTATGGAGGTAAGATATATGCTGTGCATCTGCCATTCCCCACCGCTCTTGACCTGATCTGGCTTGCTCAGGTGAGCTCGACCCCCATGGAGCTACTGGTGCAGGTAACCCCGTTGGTGGTAACGTCACCACTGATGAAGTTACTGGCTCCGACATTAATATCGCTGAATGGATGGTACGTTTATTACTTTACTCCCTCTCAACCACCATTGACAGCTTTCGATCTAGCAATTCATTGTAAGTCCTAAACGGGATAGGATCTTTCTTCCCGCCTCATGACCCCCGATTTAACAGTCTTATACCCAATTCTGCATTCGTGCCTGCACAAATGCCAACTCATCTTACAGCGCTGCCGAGATGTGTGAGCACAAGCTTGACGAGATGGGCTGCGCGTTCGTCATGCCAGGTGTGTTTATCCTTACTGTGCCGAAATGAACCTTGTCACGAATTGTACATCCCTTGCTCAGGAAACTACGACTTCAATGGAACCTTGTAAGCACCCCCCCCGCCCCGCGTTCTTTCCACGCCTCACAAACACCTCTTTCAGTGAAACGTGTGACGCTGATGTTGCCTGTATGATTGATTTCCTTTGCTTTCTCTTTAATCTGCCGCTGACGTGCAGCTCACAATGCAGACCCCCCTGGATGGTACCCCGAGGTGACGGGCGGCACGACCTCGTACTCCACCTTTGCGCAGTACTACACCGGATACTACACCGACAGCAGCGGCTCCACCGTCTCCTACACCGTCGGTGACACCGTCACGCCCTCCACCGTCGCCTTCACCCCGGCATCTAGCAACTGCGCCACCACCGCCAGTATCAGCAACGGTCTGGCGGTCGCGACGAGCGGGAGCTCGGGCTCTGCGAGCGGCTCGTCGGGAGCCTCTGGGTCCAAATCCGGCTCGTCGAGCTCGAAGACAGGTACGTTTCCCGACTCTAACCAAGGATCTATTACTTACGAGGGCTGGTTGGTGCAGCAAGCGGCACGTCGTCGTCCTCCACCGGCAACGCCGCCGTGTCCTCCTTCAGGTCCACGACCTCCTACCACGACGGTGTCACGCTCGTCGCTCTCATCTCTGGTATCGCCGCTATCGTCTTGTTGCATTAAAGAGGAGAGGAGGGCTGTGTTTTTTGGTTTTTGACGTTTCTACATACATACCATACCATACCCCCCAACAACATTCTTTTTTTTGTGCGGCATGGACATTTTCTATACATCACATCAATGAAGTATATATAATATCTGACTTTTTACGATGCCGGAAGGGAAGGGAAGGGAGGCCTGGTTGCTCCCATCCCCCCCATTTTTTGGTTCTTGTTTTTGCATGGAATTGTTGATACGATACTATTACTACTACGTACGTACGTACATGTGGACAGTTATGCTGCGCAATTCAGGGTTTCTTGTCTTTGTTGATTTGGGTTCGTAGACGGGGTGTAATCGCAAGTTGTTTAGTTCAGTTCAGTTGGGTGTGAATCCATCCTTATCATTACATGAACATAAGTAAAAAAAACAAAATTAGTTCCTAAAATGCAGATTTTATCTCATCAATACGATACCCCCATCTCCTTCCCGACCTCCTTCAGACACTGCCGCGCCAGATCCCGCGCGTCCAAATGCACAGTTGCATTCCCGTTCCCGTTCATCATGCCCGCTCCCGCTACCGTTGCCGTTGCCATTGGAGAAACCGAAACCATCCAAGCCGACGGCGTCCTCCGCGGTATCGACGCAATCTCGCACAGCACCCCATAGAAATGGAACAGGTGCGCTACCGATGAGCGTTTGACCGCATCCGCGATGAGCAGCGATGGCGTCAGGGATGCATCCAACGCTGTGTACATCAATCATGACATCATCAACACGGTTGCCAAAAAACACACACAAAAGAAAAAAGGCATACCAGGCTGATCGACACAGTTCCCCGAGGGATCTTCCGACAGGGCGGCCCACAAGGACCCGGACCACAGCTTGAGCTCTACCATCTTTCGCAGCACGTATAGTAGTTCGTCCTCACGAGCTCTGCGGCTTTCATTAGATTAATCCATATAAATGGTAAACCCGCTTTGTGTTACGAACCTAGGGAACGGCAGGTTTCCACGCAGTGCCTCGTCTGCGACATATCCGACCAACGTCGTTCGACACCGGTTCAGAAGAGACGGCAGACTGAGCGCTGCGAGGCGCTTTCTCGCACGCTCTTGGTCTGAGATGAACGGAGGTGAGTAATGGCCCCGACCAAGGCACAAATTAATCACCTTTGGTAGTATTAGAGCATACCAGGAAGAGCAGATCGAAACACCAATAAGAGAACCGTTCTCTCGGTAACAAGAACCCTGAATCAGTACTCCCCTGGCCAACACTGACGTCGACGAATTCCGCAGTGTTTGGCGATACAGTCTTCACCGCCCCCTCTGGACTTGGACTCGGACTGCGAGGTGACGTGGGCCCCACATCCGATTCATACAGCAGACTTCCACGGTGCAGGATCTTGGCGAGCTGAGAAACAAGCGAATCAGGCAGTCGGCGATCACCGAAATGCGGCACCACGTCGATTTCGAGAGCGGCGACAAGGGCAAGATCAAAGTTCTCCTCCGCCTCCTGGACGTCCAAAGGAAACTCCTCGGCTGGTGAGCTAGCAGTGCAAGAATGAGAACAAGGATAGGATATACAAAGAGAACTCACCAGTCGGCAAGAATCCCCCCTCGGAAGACATCGATGACTTGTCTCCAAATGCCCTCGATGCGCTCATCAGGGATATCTACAACAGCTCCTGTGTCAAAAGTCAGAATCACCGCTACTGTCGCAAATTATACCCACCTGAACTCAAGGCGTTGATTTGGTGCGAGAGCTCTTTGACGATCCGCAAGAAACATGTTGTACCAGTCTTCCACAGCGGCAGGTCTTTCCCAAACTTTGATGCCGGTGGACAGTCGTATTTCAGTTTGATGGGTATGGAATACGCCTGGAACAGAACATTAGCCAACCAACGCATTCCATTCCCTGGGAGCACGTACAGATAACACGGCCTCAAGTGTCCCGTCAACGTAAATATCCACCAGGTCCTTATACTTGGTAAACAGTTCGACAAGCATTGGCATCGTCCGCTTTGATAGTGCTATGTACGTGATCCGTTTCTGGGGTATCTGACTTCCACTGCTCATTTGTACATCAAAGGCAGCAAGAAAGGCGAGCGTGGCGAACTCGGACAGATCCCGCATGATGAGAGATGGGGATCCCATAACGGACAGGTCGATGGCGCTTATCGTTTCCATCACCACAGACTTTTTGAAAGAAGGTCAGATGATAATGTCCTGCAAGAATTGCAATAACTTCACCTACCTGAAGCGGAGGAAGAGCGTCAATGTCTGGTCTATAGTCAGGTGAACTAGGATAGGTCAAAACGCCTGTATGATTGATTCATTGAGCATTTGAAAAAAAAAAAAGGGACAAAACCACAATCACATCACCTTTGAGGATCCCCATGAGTCTAGTGATGCGATCCAACGGCCATTCAGTACCACTCGCCACACGACTGACAGCGCGAGTAGACTGTATAACATCCACGAAAGCCACCAGACTCTCCTGCGTGAATGGCTTTGGTGGTGGTCCTCCCTCCGTGAAGGATTTAGGAGGCGATTGCGAACCAGCTCTCTGCAAAACAGCCTCGCCGATAGCGTCAATGGATTGCCAGACACGTTCCCATACTTCAGACACCCGTTCCTTGACTTCAGAAGGTGCAGACGACGATGCCTTCAAGGCTTTCTCGAGACACCGTAGCGCCGGCGCGCTGATCGTCCGATGATCAACGAGCACAGATTCCTGTATGTGGTTCACAAAGACATTCCATGCATCTCCAAGTGACTCCAAGTGTAGTATCTTCGACGCTAAAAAGTCGTGGAAGATCGACCCAATGGATTGAAGGGCAAGGACCTTGGACGCATCCCAGGCTTGGTCAGAAGAAGAAACACCCTCTTCATCAGACGAATGCTGCCGAAGCTCCTCCGACAGAGAATCCAACAACGGGAAGGTGACCTTCCAGATGCACTGGTCCCACGTTTCGAGGCTCAGCGTACCTCCGTACAGCTGCATTGTCCTAAACAACGTTTGAATGGCACCATCCCGTACTTCGGGTCGAGAATCGGTGCATAGACCCAATACCTCGAGAAGAAGGAACATCCAAAGCGCACTATATTCCGGTTCCTTCTCCGCGTGCTTTCGTTTCGACTGTATCGCATCTGAAACACTCCAAAGCAGACTAGCAGCAGCAGTGAGCGCGATATTCGTGTCCGACTGTTTTCCGAACTGTCCGAGAGTACTGATGCACAGGCGTAGATGATCAGGAGACAGAGCTGTGACGGAATCGCAAACAAGCGTGAGGGATTGAAAAGCGATCTTGATCAGCGCATTGTTACTCTTCTCCGACGCCATGCCCAAACCCAGTGGCAGCGGTTTTGATCTTGCCGTTGGCGACGATGCGGCACTTAACGCTGACACCGAGTCTATCGACGATGACCGGCCAATTGGAGGAGGTTTGCATACGCTCCCCAGCATAGAGAAGATCGTCTCCCAGCCCACCACCAGTGTATGTCCCGACGATTGAAGGATCTGGTGAAGAGTCTCGAGACCCATCTTCCGAATCTCTACACTAGTCGAAGAATGAGAAGCGGGGGTGGAGTAGTCGGGCATGACTTGTTGAGACAGCACATCTAGGACACGTTTTTGCACCGGCGCCTGCAGCTCGCCCGTCGCACTTAGATTCCGTGGTACCGTCTCGAGAATATCATCAAGAACGCGAGCTGCTTGTATGCGGATAGCTTGAGGTGCAAACTGAAGTCGGATGATAGACAAAAGATGGCGTGTGGTCTTATCCCAAGCAACATCGGGGGAGCGATATATCAGTCGATGGATGTTGAGCCTCGAAATACCACCCAGCTTGCCTATTCCAAAGTCGCCAGAACGCTGTTGGACGTATATCAGCCGTCAAACACGAACAAATCATTGAAGGGCGACTTACCAACGAGCGGGGTATGTGGATCCCGCTGATTCTTCTTCGGCTGGAAGCATCCAGAACCGGCGACAGTCCAACACTGCTCAACTCTTCCACGCTATCGGTCTCTAACATGATATTCCCTCCATCTGACTGCATATCAACCATCTCCGCACTTAGCCTGCACAAAGCATCAATGAAATACTTGAACGCAACATCATCCAAGTTTTTGGAGGCATCGAACAGCCTTTGGATGCCACTTTGCAGAGTTTCTGAATCCAAATCACTCAATATAGGGTGGCGAGGAGGCACAGGGTGTGTTACTGGCTGTGTTCCCGACACTGACATCGATCGACTGGCCTGTGCGTGTCCGAACGGATGCCTTTTGCTCGGCGTTCCCTGCGGTCCACCCTTCCACGTCAAGACATACTCAGCATTCTGCAATACCTCAAGAATCTGGAACCAGCTTCCACCAAGACTCCCCGCGAGAAACATCGCGCTCGAGAGGAGTACCTTTAAGCACGCCAGGTTCCTTTCGGACAGACCTGGAGGTCCAGTGGGACCCGTGAAACCTAAATTCTCCGATAGCGATCCGCTTGCCGTGCGTGGTGTCTGGACATCGGTGTACGTGTCAAGGCTGGATACGACACGCGAAGGAACAGCAAACTTCGACAAGCTGGTAAAGAAAGCGTCCCGTGAAGTTGTCAGACCAAGCATTCCAGATACATTGGTGACTGCTTGATAGCTCGCTAGCACGTCCGCAAATATCTCGTCCGAGAGGTTAGTAGAGATGACGAAGGATAACGCCGCTAGCAAAGCAGGCCACCCACTCTCTATAATGTCGCGGACGATGTGGAGATGCTTAGTATTGATGTCGTCCGCCGGTAGCACGGACAGATCTAGAGCTGGGGGAGCCCGGTTCACAGCTTCTCCTGCTGCACGCGGTTTTTGTATGACGATGGAGGTGTACAATGGACCGGTAAAAGAGGCGAATCCTTCACAAAGTGATACCAAGCATTGGATGCCCAACAGGTAAATGTACGATTCTGGTATTGGGGGAGAATCTGCTTTGTCCAATTGATCGATACTGCAACCAAACGGAGTAAGCTTACGAGAAGACTGATGATGGTTGGTGGGAATCATACCATTGCAGCTTCATTGCAGATCCTTGAAGACTTAGACCTCCACTCGCACCCATCATGCCAACAACGCCTGACACGGTAGCGCTTGCGATGGCTGCCATGCCTCCCATATCCAAGCTATACCCCGAGCTGGATGCGGACAAGGATCCAGAGTCCGAATGTACCCCAACCCCCGACATTTGGGTACCCACACCCAGCAATGCCGGTTTCTCCGTTACTAGGCGATTCAAGGCAGATATCAACGACGTGAACACTTTAGATCCTGCTCCTTGCGCGTCATAGCGATCCCAAACATTCCGTATGAGCTCTGCGTCACTGCAGAGCCCACGCATAATCTCCATCGCGAGGACGCGCATCCATTGAGGCGCTTCTGGATCGTCGGTTATGATCTTGATGAAAAGCGTGAGAAAAACTTCGGACTCCGTTTTCAATTCCAGAGAAAATTGTTTCAAAAGGAGAAAAATAACTCGGGTGCACCGAAGGGTTAGAGGAAATATCGGCCGTTCCGAGATAGCTTTGAGGAGTAGTGGACAGAGGTGGTGACGGAGCAAAAGGGTCATTTCTGCGTGGCGTCGGAACAGGTCGTGATAATTTGTGAGTACACTTTCGATCAGCTCCAGTGCAAAGGTCTTGTGAAGGAAATCCAGCTTGAGGAAATGCGGCTTTTCCGCGTTCGCGAGGAGACAGAGATCCTCAAACACCGCAAACGCGTCATGCGCAGAGGGGCCGAGAGTTTTCGTGGTACCGTCTGGCAGCTTCACTTCTGACATCTCGTCCGCGGGCACGTCATCTTTCCTATCTTCATCCACCATTTTGTCGACGACAAACATCACGAGCTGCCGAAGCGTTGCTGCTGCCGTGGATGATACCACCGCTATTTTCGATTCTTGAAGTTTGAAGCATAATAGCAGCGCCTACATAAAAGTCGCTCAATGCCACCCGTAGAGTAAACTGAACACATACGTCACCGAGCATTGGCCCGTGCACAGCAGGGAAGTTGGTAATGAGCGACAGCAGTGTCTGTAGTATTCGAAGTTGAATGTCGACCCCTTGGCTGATGGCGTCACTCATGGTCGTTATGATGAGGGCGACCGCAGACTGTGGTACGGCTTTCAAGGCTATCAGGCGCTGCAGGGATCCCAAGGATATGGCGACGACCTTTGCATTCTTTGTCGCGCATCCCATAAAGACGGGTCGCAGTAGGTCGTCCGACTGAGGTCCATCTACTGTACCATAAGTTATATCCAGGTTTCCAGAGATATTCACGCGCACCTGAAGCCAAGCTCGCCGTCGCCTGTTCCGGCGATGCTCGTAATATTGCGAGAGATTTTTCTGCAGCCTTCCCATTGTACATGTCAGCCTCCACCTAGATCATCCAACAAGACCGGTATGGATATGCACCTCACGGATATCCGGATGCTTCCTTCTCGTCTCACTGGCTAGAGACTACGGCAATGGATATCAGACAAGAGGAAATTCTTGACATTACGAAGCACAGACCTGAAGTTCAGTAACAAGGAAGGCTAGCGAACTCATGGCTGGCCGCCCTGCGCGTCACACTGGCGGCAGCGGTCGATTGTAGATGGGAAAGGGACACGATAGTAGTGGTCAAGGACCGAGGTAAAGTTATCGCACAGCCACCACGTTGCTACATAATCAATCTTATCTCATTACAATCACGTGGTCGATCTGAACGGTTTCCAAAAAGGTTTTTCGGGGCTTGGGCTTCTCGTTCTTTCTTCGTGACCCCAGCATCACTTCAAGAAATCTACAATGATTATATGTCTGACTGGGTCACAGAGTGGCAAAATGGGTATTGTGCAGGATACTGTACACTGAATAACACATGCACCATTGACTGGCTACAAGCCTTTCTTTGTGGCATTTGTTGACACTGCAAATGTTTTCCCATCAACAAATCAGGACACTGCAGCTCCAGCTGGTGGAGCTCAGAATGGGTGGTTCTATATTTGACAGGCTCAGACTTGTGTACTGATGAACAGAATACCAAGTATGACATGAAAATATAACTTTGAAGGAGTTCAAGTCCTTGATTGGCCTCTCAACCAGTGATTCCAACCCTCTTGAACCTATACATGTCAAGTCCAGAAATGCCACCTGACAAGGATGGCATTATGTCAAAGTGTATGTGAATGGTTGTAATCTCCCTCACGCTTATATCAGCTCGCCGCTCCATGCCATATCCCAAGTATGTCACCATTGCTTGCAAGTTTGCACAAGTATTCATATATATTTCAAAAGACATTATCATAAGGGCAATTGAGATTACCAGTGGTATCCCCAGTCTCTGAACTGAGATTGCTCAGCGACCGACCGGCCTTGGAACATCTCCACCAACGTCCCCATCCCTCGCACCCAACACAAACATCAAATCCTTCCTCCCAAACATATACGCCGCCTCAATCGCCGTCGGCTTCCCCGCTCTCGGATCAGCTCCAGCCTCAACCAGCACCTTCACCGTATCCCCGTAACCCTTAAACACCGCCCCAGCAACTATACTCTGCCCGCGATCATTCATGCGATTGGGATCAGCCCCGAGTGATATGAGCTCCTTGGCAAGTGCGTGGTGCCCAGCATACGCAGCGAGCATGAGGAGGGTATTTCCCTCGGGATTGGTGAGGTTGGGAGGTAATCCCGCTTTTACGGCTGGGACGAGGACGGCGGAGTCGCCATTTCTGGCAGCGTCGAACATACGATGGGCAAATTCGATGGTCGCGGGAGGAAGAGACATGTAGGATGATGTCATCGGGTCATGGGGGAGAATTATTTCTTTTTTGCTTCCGATCACGTGGGCGTTCCATACGAATTCTTTTTCCTCTCAATATCCGTGCTTCCGTTACAGGATAGACCATTTTTGTATACATTACCTATTTACTGTACGTATTTTATAACTATGATATGATTGTACCATAATCCAACCAAATCCGAGTTGTCTGTTTTGCATAGAGCAGGGAAGAAAGCGAGGAGCAAGACGAGCGAGGAAGGGGTATGGTATCTTAAAGCGATGGGAATATAGGTAAGTGGGTTATATGTAATAATATATCCAGCGAAAAGCAGTTAGATGGTATGTATATGAAGAGTCCCCCCATTCATCAACCCCCCCTCACGATGATACTCTCCAGACGGACGTACTCCCACACGATGCTCGCGTACCCCAAAAATGAATCAAAATCAGGATCAGCAACCCTCGCGAGCCCGATCTGCGCTAGATCCAAATCAGGCATCTGCTCCGTGGTGGACGCAGACGACGGCGATGGCGACGGCGACGACGACGGGGGCGCAAGCGCCGCCATCTCGGGCGGGTACACGATAGGCAGCGCCGATATCGGCGTCAGCGCCATCGTCCCCGTGGGCGTCGTAGGCGTCGAGATCATCGGCACCGGCGAGTTCGGATACATATACGCGTTCGTCCCTCGGTTCAAAAAATAATTATCCTCCTCCTCGTCCTCTTCCATGACGATCGACGTGCCTAAAGTCGTACCGCTCCGGAGCACGTTCCGAATGGTCGGTACCTGCATCTGCGGCCCGCCAGCACTGCTGCTGACGTTGGTCCGCGCCCAGACACCGCCGCTCTCGGTCCAGCGTCGAGCGAACACTTTCCGCGTGTCCTCCTCGAACGACGAGGTCCCCACAGCGGGGGGATATGGCGAACCTGCCCTAGACCCAGTTCGGTTGTCATTTTCCTTGCCCCATACCCATTTTGCGACGAGCGCAACGCCGACGGCCGCCCGCCCAGGGAATCCGCGAGCAGGGGCGTTCCGGTGGGGAGAGATTTGTGCCGAGTCAATCTTGGGGGGGGGTCGTAAGCATCCTAACTGCTCACGTTAGAGGATAACGTACCTGGCTCAAGCACACATAAACGGGTTTCCCAAAGACATCGCACACCAAATTGGCTATGCTGGGGAAGTTTGCCGCCGCTCCAGTACAGAGAATGCGAGAAGGGAGGTGTGGGTACGAAGTCTGGTACAGATCGAAGGGTATTGGAGATGGTAGCTGCACTTGGCCGGGCGGCAGTGGTGGTTTGGGCGGTAATTTGACCTCTCCAAACACTCCCAAAGCGACAGCACGGCCCCATCGTACTCGCATTCCCATCACTTGGGACTCAACGAGACATCGGGGATTGGCACGAAGGTCGCGGAATTCGTTGACCTTGATACCGGTTTCAAATCTGTGCACACCTTTGCTGTGGGTGAACGGAGGCGTGTCTGGCTGTAAGTGCCAGAAAGAGAACAACTTGTCGTCAAGACTGCAAAAGAAAAGTTAGTTAGATCTAAGAACAATCCATTACGGAGACACCTCGGTGGGAGCGGCTCTTTCGTGGGAAGGAAAACGAGCCGTGATTTCCACATTCATTTCGGGTGATCTGAAACAAAATGAAAAACACACGCTCGCGTGTTCATTTCGTTCTTCGGAACATAGGAAAAGAAAGTGTTGTCAAGGTCCGGTTTTTCCTGTGTAAAAAAACACAGCTCCCATCGAGGTGCAGGTACTCACCCTATTGAACCGCCAGGAGGCACGATGGCAACAAGTCTGTCAAATGCGCTCCAGCTCTTGGTGTACATATCACGGGCGAGAGCACGCGATAAATCTCCATTTCTACGAGAACATCAGGGATGTACAAAACGGGTACCGAGCATGCGTACCGGCTGCTCAACATCACGATGTATTTTTTCTTGTCTCCGGGTTCTTGGTACGGATGAGGAACGATATTGTATATCGGCGACGGGATGTACGTGTGGGCCCGAGCCATCAATGTATCCGTGGGACCAAAAGAAAGGACAGCATCTGACTGGGAAGGACAAACAGAAATAAAGGTCGAGAGTGTATCGGATGTGAACGGTGTGAGAATAGTTTCTAGGGAGAAGAAAAATAAGTGTTTTTAACTGCAGAAAAGGACGAATTAAAGTACCAGGATCAAAGCCGTATCTGTCAACCAGATACCGCGACACGTATCCCGCCTTTCTGCCGCCGCCGTTGACGTCAACGTCACCTAGCCAACCACGGACCCGACGGCCCTCCTCCCTGCTCCCGCCGACGATATCCAGCACGCCCTCATCCCAGACACCACTCTGCACGTTCCACATCCCACTAAGGCAGGCCTCAGCCTCGCCAATGCCCGCCCACTTGCCACCAACGAGACTCTCGAGAAACTTACTAGCCACCTGCACCCTCCCCGTCCGCACCCAGACCTCCTTGCCCCACATCTCCCGCACTCGGAACATCTGCGCCGCGAGCATCGAGGCATTTCCTCCCGCACTGATCCCGACGCGTCGCGCCATCGCATCCGCCCCTCCCAGCGTGCTCTCAATCGCCAGCGCATGGGGGTGCGACGAGATATCCTGCGACGTCGGCGTCTGCGGCAGCGAGAACGAGGCCGCCGGGAAGTGCGCAGGCAGTGATAACCCTGGATCCAAGGACGAAAGCGCAGGCAGCGGTGTCGATTTCCACCACACAAGCGCCTGCTGGGCACAGCCCGATATTGCCTTGATATCCTTGATTTTGTACGACGACGCTAGCTTGGCGAGCAGAATATCTGTAACACGTGAACAGCACAATTTGCTTCCGTTGGTGGGGGGGAAAGATGGAGTGGATACATACCTAAGGCCTTTACCCACATCTCTACCGGGGTTGTGTACGCCTCGCCAGGCGTCGTAAATATGCCCCCCTGCGTCTGGTACTCGCTGAGTTCCGTGTCAAAGTCGACTCGCTCGACGCCAACAAGTTCTTGCTTTTCATCGAGAATACATGCTCGGAGTTGGTCGGTCGCGAGTTCGAGCCCCAGAAAGTGTGTGGCCATCGTACGGTGTCGTGAAAGAGGCGGAGATGTGCGTCGTTACTTTTTTAGCTGCTGCCGTGTGAAGCATGAAGAGAAGATTAGCTAAGCGTGATGGGCCCATGGAATTCGCCGTAGTAGCCGTTCTATTGGGCCTGACTTGCCATCTTTGATCTATTTGTTCAAGCGCCCTTCAGGGTCTTCCGGCAGCTTCAGAGGCTTGCTGGCAGAGGGATAGTTGAAAATAATCTTTTAACTTGTTTCCTTCCCAAAGTTCCCTCGCAATGAAAATACTCTCTTTTGTCGTTTACGAGAATTACGTGTAAAACTTGATGAACCAGCGTGGAGACGCCTTCGGGAACAAATTCAAGCGATTTTGTTGGATAGATGGACAATGGACACACCAACATCCATCACGAACATCAGCTAAACGCGGTCTTCTCGAAAGCCCGTCATGAGACTGGACCCTTCACTTAATGAAATGGAACAAAGGTTCCATAAATATGACCACTTACGATATCCGGCTGAGGTAGAGCAAATATCTACAATCCGTCGAGTATTAGACAGAATCAACAACGGAACGAAAATCGGCATACTGATTGCAGAGGCCTCGGTGATGGCTTGCCGAAGGCTGAGAATTTCATAAACCTTCATGAAGATCAGCCAAAATGAAATGGGTAGTGCGTGTGGTGGCGAACGCCACTCGGCATGTAATATTGACGGCCAATCGGGGAGGAATCTGGATTCGACAGAAACGGAAACTTGACTGTAAACCTACAAAGTTCCTGGTGTAAGCTCTTGCCGGGAGGTGTAGGAAGCAATGACGAGAAGGTAGTGAAGAGCAAAGGAGGGGCCAGAAAGAGCGGCGATGGCTGTTGTTTGAGCGAAATTTCACAAAGCTCTGCTTGGCATACAACTCCGCATCTACGATTCAGGGAACTAGAAACATAGCCAGCCTTCGGGTCGAACTAGTGTGAACGGCCCTAGATTACCCGGCGGCTGGGGAAGCACTAGGGCAGCGATCGATGATCACTTATTTACCCTGCATGCCCATCTCGCCAGACGGGTCAGTCGGACAGCATACGAGTGACCGCAAGAAACGAAAAGGAGCACAGCAGGCCTCGAGACAATGGAGAAAAAGCCGCCAACAACCCCTGCGACAGGGCTTAGCCTGAACAGTGAACAGTCCCCTATAAGTTAAAGTGGAGGTTGGAACTGAGTGGATGTCGCCGTCTCTACAGCATGCCCATCTTGTCGTGTAGCATGATGATGATAATGAAAAGATCAGTCTAACGAAAATCATGGTAAGAAAGAGGACATCATCGTAAACTGTACGTAGAAAGGGAACCTGAACGCAGAGTAACCAGGAACACACTAGACGAGACATTATTCGGTTTATCAATGGTCGCGTTTCAACCACATCTAAGCGACCGCAGTAAGGTTGGTGCTCCAAGTCAGGTGGGGAAGACGCACAGGCACAGCTACGGAGCCAGACGCCTGGGTAAGGAGGCTAATTGGATAGCTAGCAGCGCGCAGTTACGAGCTCACTTGAAGTCAAGACAGCATGATATCAGTCAGACAGGGAAGTAACTCGGGTATGAGACTTGGAAGAGGCTAGCGCGACGCTCGAGGGAACATTGCGTCTACAAGAAAGTGATGATAACGATTCTGCGGACAGAAAAAGATCTAGATTGGCAAAGCAAAGTCAAGGTTGGACGCACCATCAACTGCATCAAGGTATGGACATATGCGTCCGGCAATTCTTGGACATGGTTAACGAGTTTTGACGGTATTCGAGGCCACATTTTCACTAGTATATCTCTAGTAGGAGCCATATGTTCGTATTGCTGGTCAATAAATCGACTTTGGTACAGTCATCGTGGTGCAGGTCAAAGGATGGGGTAAATTAGAATGGATCGTTGACAGAACTGGACCTCGTGATCATATTCACACGCCACAGACGTGTCGCGCCCGCAATCCACCCAGATGCAAATTCTCGTGTAATGCGACTTACTACCTAGGATCGCTTCTAAAGCCAATCTCTCTTAGCCGTACGACGACTTCCTTGCTTGAGCTAGACCATGATAATCCTCCGTTCTAATAAGTATCTACCTGCAATGTCTCCGGATAGATATATCCTTTCGCATCATGCTACATATATACTTACTTAACCAGCGCTTCCGAGAAAACCAGGTTCAGAATACTGACAGATACATGCTAAACTGTGTAAAGAATAAGATCAACGCAGGTTCGTTACATTTTCTATGGAATAATCAACAAACAAGAGCCTCTTTCACACCTGAAACTGGGGCTCATTCCAACAAAGCCATCCGCATGACCAGATTAATGACCACCGTTCCTAGTGGGCACTCGCCACGCCCCACCCCCTCCATTTTACTTTTCCATTGAGGATATACCCAGCGGTCCCACGAAAGTTGTCGACCAAGTACTTCACCTCCCTATCAAGTATTTCGGGGTATCTAAACACGATCATCATAGTCAGGGCGAAAATCTAGTAATGAACATGTATTTCACATACTGGCCAGTAAAACTTGGAGAAGACTTCGGCGACGATGTTGCTCGGCGTCAACTGCGAACGAATGTTTTCGAGCGCCACTTTTTTTTAAGGCTGTCAAGGTCTGCCTGATGTGAAAAATCAGCAGAAGCACCGTTTTTTACGAACTGAGGTACTAGCCAAACCTTTGCAGCCAAGTGATACATTGACTTTGGCGAGCATGCATCCTTAGTCGCTGTTCGTCTTCTGTCTCTTTGATCTGGTTGTCTTTTACGAGAGGCCCTAGTTCTGAAGCAGTGATCACTGTGCCTTCTCGCTCCACCTATCGTTCGAATCCCATCTTGGCCAAGAAAAGGGCGGCCCAAACTGAACGCTCCTTCTCATTCTCCCCTTCATAACGACCCTTTTCCCTTTTACGGACTAAAGCGTCTCGGTACTCTTTCCATCACTTCGTTGTCTTAGAAATAGTCGACCCTTTGACTTGGACCACAATGCCCTTTGTCCGCGTTTCAACAACGTCCGAGCCTAACAATGGTCCCGAATCTGACTCGTTCCAAATTGAAATAATTTAAGCATCTCGTTCGGAGAGAAAGGTCATTCTTCATCTTGTCTACCTAGTCTCAACTTTCCACTCCATTGACACCTTGTGCTACTCATATCATGGGCGTGAGAGGGCGTCGTTCTCTCAGGGCTTCATTTCATGACTTGGACGTCGTTTCACAGACCGTCGCTTCCTCCAGCCGCCCATATACCTGCGACAAATGCACCAGAGTATTTACCAAGACGGGCGACTTGAAAAACCATAAGCCGCTCCATTGGACGAAGGAAGAACGGGAAAAAGTGTATGTCTTATTTCTACCTTCACTGACACGGAAAATGAATTTCTCTGCCACAGAATGTACAAATGCCCCAAGTGTCCGCGAATAATGCTACGGAGATCCGAGTTGCGACATCATATTAACCGGAGTCAGTAAGTCCTTGTTTAAGCGCTACTAGTCACTCAGCATGCTTATCGCTATTGTCTCAGCAAGAAGATAGTCTGCAGCGAGGTTAACTGTACTTTCACAACGACGAGGCCGGCGAGTATGAGATGGCACAAAACGAGCCACTGCAATGCACCAGATCTCTGCGTCGAACGCCAGTGCACACCGACCAGTAATGACCTTGGCAGTGGCACCGTGTTACCGCCACGTATGTTTCCCGCTACTCCCCAGCATCAGTTATCCCCGGACCCTTCGACGAGCGCTACTACTTGTGGCTCTGTGTTTGGATGTTCAAATTCCTCCTCTACTCCCAATCATACAACACTGTGTCCATCTTCATATCTTCCAACACTTTCCAATACCCCCCTGCCGTGCTCTTCAGCTTCTCTGCTCCAACTCCCAGCAGAACTGTTTATAGTGGGTCCGAGGAAATACCGGCTGCCTCCGATCATTGATGCATATTAATTTGACGGGGTTCCATCTTCAACCCATGCTGTTTTTTGGTACAAGGTAACAGACAGGTTTGGTTCGCCCTGGACCTTGTTGGTATGACGGTGAGGGCTGTGTGCAACGCTGACGCTGCTGAGATTTCAAGGTCCTGGACCTTTGTTCCTTCCCTTGCTCACGAAGGATAACATATGGAACACACGACGTCGTGATATCGTCCATATCAGTGACAATTGGCGAGGATATTGTTGGATTAGCAAGCAGGAGCTCCGTCGTATCCCGCCGGCCAAGCTCGATACCCCTTTATGTCGGGATGGACTATATATATTGAATACGGTCTG